AGACTAGAGAGAGAGACTGGAGAGAGACTAGAGAGAGAGACCAGAGAAAGACCAGAGAGAAATACTAGAGAGAGAGACTGGAGAGAGACCAGAGAGGGACCAGAGAGAGGGACTGGAGAGAGACTAGAGAGAGACCAGAGAAAGACCAGAGAGAGAGACTAGAGAGGGAACAGAGAGAGAGAGACCAGAGAGAGAGACTAGAGTGAGACCAGAGAGAGATTAGAGAGAGACCAGTCCACACCATGACAAGAGCTCTATAGAGTATGATCAACCAGATAAAGTTCTCCGTTCGGCTCAGAGATGCAAGGTCAGCTCAAAGAACAATATCTCCAGAGGGAAGAAGCTGGAACATGGCCTTCCCTGTTTTTTAACCTATCTCTCCCTCTGGTTGGTTGTTGGGTTTTTGACAGATTTCTATGGTCAAAACCACTAATCTAAAAATGTTTGTGTTTTGAACTAATCTACATTGGATTCATCTAACCAAAATATACTAACTCACTTACTTATACTTACGTACTGATTGGTATGTTTCTTTAATTGTCTGTTCTTGTGTTTGGTCAATTTGGTCATGTTTGGTTGTTTGTTATTTTATTTTTCATGTTTTTGTGTGTGTGACATTTTTTGGCTGATTAAAAGTGTATAAACATCAAATTTTCAGAAACATGGCGTCGTGGCAGGAGCTCTGGTGTGTCCTATCCTGGTGTGCACTAGGGTAGTCTTGCACAGTTATTCCAATGTGGTTTTACTGCAAATGGTAAACAATTCTGGAATCTTGAAAAATACTTTTGTGTGTTTCAGTCCGCTCAGTTTCTCCCCAAGCTAAATCATAATATCGAACCAAACCCTGTATCGTTAAGACAAATCTTCACCGCGTTTAATCCTCTACAGCCGCAGCTCAGTCTTGTGCATTTGGATAAAACATGGCAATAACAATAATGTTTGCTGCGTGGTCGTTGGCGTGGGAACACTGCCTAAAAGTTCAAGTTTTTTTGTTTTTGCTCCAGTGAGTTTGTGCGGAGTAGGACCAGGGCCAGGGCTGTGACTGGATGAGTTTTTAAAGACAAAGACGATGGTTACTGGGCCTCTCTCTTTCTCCTCCTCTGCTGCATCCCACAGCAGCTCAGCCTCCACACGCTTACATAAGTCTGAACCCACACACGGACAAACATCCCGGCACGACCACAGCCCGCGCCTCTCTCCTATTGCTGTAATTACACCAGCAATATGTTAAGTATAGAGCAGTGAGAGAGATGGAAGGGACCAGGCCGCTGTGACAGACAAGGCACTGTCACAAGCGTCAACAAACCATTTTGATTTCATTCAGGAAAAGATGTGTTTATGGAGTAATGTTTGCATGGACTGGTTATTTTGGTTTGATACTGCGTGTGTGTAATCCTCTTCAATGTTCGCTCTTTGAAGAAAGCAAGATACATGTTCTTGTTCTGATTTTTTTTTAAGATGTAGAAGCACCATAACACAAATATCTTCGGTCTCTCTGTGGTGTGGTCTCTCTCTGGTCTCGCTCTGTGGTCTCTCTTTCTGGTCTCTATCTCTGAGATCTGTCTTTGGTCTCTCTGAAATATCTGTGTTCTCTCTCTTTCTGGTCTCTATCTTTGGTCTCTGTAGTCTCTCTGATCTCTCTGTGGTCGATCTGTCCCTCTGTGGTCTCCTTCTGGTCTCTCTCTCTCTCTGATCTATCTCTGGTCTCTCTGTGGTCTCTTTCTGGTCTCTCTCTCTCTCTGATCTCGCTCTGTGGTCTCTCTGCTCTCACTCTGCGGTATCTCTCTCTCTGATCTCACTCTGTGGTTTCTCTCTCTCTCTGATCTCTCTCTCTCTCTGATCTCGCTCTGTGGTCTCTGCTCTCACTCTGTGGTCTCGCTCTGCGGTATCTCTCTCTCTGTGGTTTCTCCCTCTCTCTGATCTCTCTCTCAGTCTCTCTCTCCACCACTTCTCCTTGTGTGCATGTTTGCTTACTTTTCTGTTATCTCTGTATATATCTTGTAACTGTTTAGTATCATCACATGTCATCTTCTACATCTATTTGCTTAACACCTGATATATTTAGCAATAACTAGATTTCTATCATAAAGAAATGAATCAATCAAACGCTACAGGACTTGCTTTCAACACATTTAATACTCCACCATGACATGGCACTGACGTCACACAGAATGGCTCCAACACTTAAAGGCATTTCCTCTTCGCATATTTACACGTTTCATGGCAAAAACCTTGAAATATGTACACAGTTTCAATGACAATCAAGATGCATTACGACACAAATGGTTCCACGAATTGACAAGTTCATTCATTATAAAATCATTCAAAGTGGCGCTCGAAAATAGAGCAACGTCGCCACCTCCTGGTCACATACTGCTAATGGCACTAGTACAATCCAAGGACTTCATAAAGGATCTAAAACCTAGAGTCTGAATCTGTTCCAAAACTGCTGGAGTTGATTTAAAAAAAAAAAAAGATAAATCCAATGGCTTCAAAATCTACAAGTTAAAGGAGGGAGCCAGCTTTTTTTGCTTTTAAAACCATTTTGATAACTTTACAAGCTAAATGCTGTTGTTGGCGAGTTGTTTAATAGACTAGGGTAGCTCCTGTATCTCTAGCATTACTAACAGCAATTTTTAATTGGAGCATATTTTTTTATTTATTGTTAGTGTAGTTGTTATTTTGAACTATTTATTGTACAAAACCAACAAAATAAAAATAAAAGAATTCCACATTTTTTTGCAATCACTTTCTTACTATTTCTTTTTTTATCTTAGGGTATTGAAAATCTACATTCACGTTTGGCAATAACAACCAGAGAGAGAGACCAGAGAGCGAGACCAGAGAGCGAGACCAGAGAGAGAGACCAGAGAGAGAGACCAGAGAGAGACCAGAGAGAGACCAGAGAGCGAGAGCGAGACCAGAGAGAGAGACCAGAGAGAGAGACCAGAGAGCGAGACCAGAGAGAGAGAGACCAGAGAGAGAGACCAGAAAGAGACCAGAGAGAGAGTTCAGAGACCTTTTATGTAAATCTTTGTGGTATTGGTGAAACTTGTTTTTATGATTTTACAGTCAGAATTAAGCCAAAGTACAGCACTGCTTGTAAAGTTACATCCATTTCTTTAAAAAACACAAAAATATACACATTTCTAGCACTTTCTCATGAATACATAAATCATGGCCAGTTTAAAAAGTCAAAAATTAACTATTACTACTGTCTATTACTTTACAATTACATGGCTTCCCCACTCCTTCCCCGGTCTATTTACAAAGTTTTACAATATTATGAGGAAAATGCTTTGCGAGTGTAAATTAAGACATCGTACGTTCTGAGTTTCCACCCAAATTCACGTTTCAGCGAGAAAAACGGCATGCCAAGTTCTGAAGCACCACGTCAAAAAGAAATAAAAAATACTGCATTTGGCCATTACTGTTCAGAGAGCAACCAACAATATATATATAAAAAAAGTTGTATTTTGGACCAGAAATGTGTTTTTTGGGGGCATTTGACTCAAAACTGTCAACTTGGTCAGATATTTTTAAAATATAAATAAGGTGAGCTATCATTGTACACTTCTCCTCGCATCAACGCTATCTATGGCTTTAGGTTTCTAGTTTATTGCCACAATTTTGCACCAGAATATTTAGCTAATTTCCATAATAAGGATGCAAGGACAACATTTATGGCAACTTTTTGTGCTTTTTTTTTTAATCAAGAAATGTGGCCATATCAAACTATTGTATATATCATAGGAATTTCAACAGATAAGGTTGAAAAATGACACTACTTTCTGTTTTACTGTTATAGCATAGACTGTACATACTGTAAATGGACAGCTCAATGGAGCCCAATAGAGAAGTGCTCATGGACAAAGTTTTGCTCCAACTTTGTGTCAGCTCAGGTTTCATATCATTTCAAAATGGCTTCATATTCAGCTTGGAGATCTTTTCTTGCACATTCATCTAACAAAACATTATTATGTACTGCCAGTCCTCACAAGGCAGGTTTTAAAACAATGCGGCAACTATAGACGACCAGAGAGAGCGCGGCTTACAGTGTGTGGCGGCCATCTTGGTAGTTGAAGAGGAGACAATTCAGGTCAGTCCATGTTATGAATGTGTGTTCGATGAATCACCTTCCATTAAATTCAATGTATTTTTTTATAGCCCTAAATCACAACAGCAGTCGTCTCGGAGGACCTTACGAAGTTGCCGACTCCTCAACAACAGATCAGAAAATCAAACTGTTTCAAAGACAGGAAATGCATTTACAACAAACAAATAGGAGCAGTTGGTCCATAGGGAGCGGGACGACCACTTCTCAGAAACGTTTAATGTTTTGTTTTCTATTCTTTTTTGAGCTTAGAAAATGGCTGCTATGTATTAATTATTATAATCATTATTATTAAAAATCCATCAAAGTATTCGCTACCGTGCCGACGCAACAGCATTAGCATTTCACCAAACTTATCATTCACTAGTTTTTGTGTTAAAAGTTAGTAAAGGTAATAACCCTGATAAGTAGCTTTTTAATAAATCTGGTCCATTGTTTTTTTATAGCAGTCAAAATTTCGACGCAGGGTGTTCTAGTAGTTTCAGAATCCTGTGAGTACTTTACAAAGTTATTGATTATTCAGCAACAGATCAGAGAAACAAACAGTGTTCGAACGCAGGAAATGCAATAATAACAAACACGTAGGAGCCATCGGTCCATAGAGCGACCACTAGTCATGACCACTGTCCAGGAATATAAATAGTTAGTTTTATATTCAAATGCCTCTCTAATAGTATGAGCCACCGTGCCGACGCTCTCTCTAGACTCCAATTCAACCAGATTGTTATTTTGACCCAATCACCGCTTCCAAACCACGTGAGACAGGTTAGTTTCACCTCACTGATGATGTGTAGTTGTATTAGTAATCTACCGTCTAAGGTTCGATCCAGACACTCCATATTTAAGCACATTCTTTATTCTCTCCGTTCTGATTGGTTGACTTCCGTCAGACTTCTTCTTTGATATTCGTGTGCTGCTTGTGATGACCGTGCGTGCTCTTGCTTGGTGGATGATGCCCCACTTTCACCCCACTATCCTCCCCCAGGTCCAGCCTCGCCTCCCCCGCTCTGAAATCTCTCTCCCCGTCCTCCTCCTCTTCTTCCTCCTCTTGCGTCTTGCGGTTGATGACGTCGTCGATCCAGCTCCGGAAGCGTCCCACGCGGGTGTAGATGGATGGGGAGGAGGGCTCGCCGCACCCGTTGCCCCCGACGACGACCCCGGAGAGCACCCATCGGCCTGAGTTGTCCAGGCAGACCAGGCCGCCGCCGGAGCCGCTGGAGCAGCCGTTGCCGTGGGAACGTGTGGTGTTGGGCGGGCTCCCGGCGCATACGCTGTCGTGGCTGTAGAAGGAGTCTCCAAACTGTTTCTTACACTGCCACGATGACATCACAGGTACCCAGGTGGCAAACACAGGCTCTGCAACAAACCGGGGACAAGGTTCAGAGCAATTTCAGATCAGACACTGTATAAAGGATGTACGGTCACATTAGTCCAGTTCTCAGGTCTCTGCTTCCTGTGCCTCAAAAAATAGACTGTAAAGCAGCTCTGGTTGTACAAGTCTCTCCCTGGCCTCCTGCTGAGGCTCTGAGGAACACAGGGACTGGCCTCCTGCTGGGATTCTGAGGAGCACAGGGACTGGCCTCTTGCTGGGACTCTGAGGAGCACAGGGACTGGCCTCTTACTGGGACTATGAGGAGCAAAGGGACTGGCCTCTTACTGGGACTATGAGGAGCAAAGGGACTGGCCTCCTGCTGAGACTCTGAGGAGCACAGGGACTGGCCTCAGAATCAAAATCAGAGTCAATGTATTGCCATTTGCAGAAAAAAAATACATTGGAATACTAACAGGAGGCACCGACACCACAAAGCACACACACACACAGACAGATAAAAATAATAAAAATAGCGAGACACAGTGAGGCACATAAAACTCTTCAAAGCATGATTATGAAACTACAAAGGAGCTACAAAGAGAAGTAGATTTCAGGCTGCTCTGATTGATACTATGGGAAAGCAGCTAAAATTTGTAACAGTTGTCTGCTCCGCATTCCGACTGTTCTGCAGCAAGTAATAACATTTATAAATTGGTTTTAGTAAATATGGTTAAAAAAAAAAGTATTCAGAACAACAGTCCTAATCTACTGAACGGTTAAAGCCTCAAACAGCGTTCTTGAGTCCGGCTGTAGTTTTCACCTGGGCTGTTCCACGCCGCGGTAACCGTGACGACGCAGGAGGACAGGCCGCCCTTGTCTCCAGTGTCGGCGCTCGGGAGGCAGGCGGCGTTTGTGTTGGGGTCCAGAGGCATGCAGCGTCCTTTGGGGCTGAGCAGGCGGACCAGGGCCAGGTCGTGTCGCCCCCGGTGACCTTTGAACTTCCTGTGGACCACCACCTGTTTGGGGACCAGGGTCTGGACCGTGGCCCCAACTCGGACCAGCAGGCGAGAGGAGTGCGGGATCGCCCTGAGGAGAGGTATAGAGAAAGATCAGAGAAATGCCAGAGAGAGACCAACGAGAGAGAGACCAAGAGAGAGAGACCCAGAGAGAGATTACCTTTGCCTCACTAATTCAGATGAAGGACGATAAATCAAAGAGAAATACCTCAAAACAAACGTCCAAACGCCACTGATGTTTGACCTTTAATTCACTGAGTGGTGTATGAAGTGTGTGTGTAGCGTGAGAGAGAGGACAGACCTGGTGATGCAGGAGGCGGAGGTCAAGGCCCAGCAGGAGGTGATCAGAGTGGCCGAGCAGAGAGGGGAGAGAGCAGAGGAAGACTGGCTCCACAGAGACACCTGCCAGGGCCACGTGTTCCTGCAGGAGAGAGAGCACGGGGACCACACAGAGACCAGGTCAGGACGGTTCACAAGGAGAAGGTATGTACAGGTATAAGGAAGACAGGAGACCAGAGAGTAATCAGAGAGAGATGCCAGAGAGAGAGACTGGAGAGAGAGAGACAGAAGAAGGACCAGAGAGAGAGAGACAGAGACACAGAGAGAGAGAGAGAGAGACAGAAGAAAGTCCAGAGAGAGAGAGGGAGAAGAAGGACGAGAGAGAGAGAGAGAGAGACAGAGACACACAGAGAAAGAGAGAGAGAGAGACAGAAGAAGGACCAGAGAGAGAGAGACAGAAGAAGGACCAGAGAGAGGAAGAGAGAGAGAGAGAAGGACCAGAGAGAGAGAGAGAGAGAGAGAGAGAGAGAGAGAGAGAGAGAGAGAGAGGGACCAGAGAGAGAGAGAGAGAGAAGGACCAGAGAGAGAGAGAGAGAGAAGGACCAGAGAGAGAGAGAAGGACCAGAGAGACAGAGAAGGACCAGAGAGACAGAGAGACAGAGAGAGAGAGAGACAGAGAGACAGAGACAGAGAGAGAGAGACAGAGAGAGAGACAGAAGAAGGACCAGAGAGAGACAGAGACAGAGAGAGACTATGCAAAATGTAAAAATACAAAAGAAATGTATTACCCCAATGACCCAGTAGTAGTAGTAATAGTGGTTGTAATTGTAGTAGTAGTAGTAGTAGTAGTAGTAGTAGTAGTAGTAGTAGTAGTAGTAGTAGTAGTAGTAGTAGTAGTAGTATGATGTAGTATAGTATTGCAAATCATGTCCTGGAACAGAACTTTTGCCTATACTTTCTGTACAGGGACTGTCGGCAGAATGTCGGCCCCTCCATTTGTTGACAAAAACCTATTACTATTTTGTTGTGAGTTGTAAACATAATAATGAAAGTACAAACTGTTTTAATGTTGAGTAAAAAAGAAGCCGTTTTTATCCAGCCATGAGTAAAATCAATGCAGGGACAAACCAGCAGGTGGTGCTGTTGTCCTGTACAAGACGAAGTAGCGAGGAAATTATGTATTTGTAGATGATGTCCAATGTTATTACAAAAATAATAGACAATATAATACAGTTGTTATCAGAAAAAAACAGATTTGAGCATCAGCTTTGACTCTCGGGTTTCCTTCTCAAAAGAACATGCAAAAGATACGAGTCACACTTTTCAATTTTGCCCTCACTAATTAACAGAAAATCATGTGCTAATTAGCGTATAATCTGTGGTTATATTAGCTCTTTATTGGTATTTATTAAGCACGGTGTCAGTTAGTAGATAGTTAGACTTCTATATCTAACTAACTACTAACTGACACTTTCCCATGTGGGCTAGGTTTAGGTTTAGGGAGTTAGGGCTAGGGTAAATAAATAAATAAATAAACAAGAAATAAAAAAAACCTCAAATGAATAAATAAATAAATATATACATGAATAAATAAATAAATACATAAATAATAAATAAAAGGCTTAAGGTTAGGGTTAGGGTTCACTATTTAGCACTTAATTAGCTGTTTGGTAGTGAGGGATAATCAAAAGCTTTACCATTATTTCTGCCGGCACAAAAGTCAGGTCCCCCAGCTTTAAATCTCCCTCTGACCTGATGAGGTTCCCTTCTCCCGTGTTGGCGTTCCCCTCCAGTTTGCGCAGTCCACAGCTGGCCAGCTCGCCCTGGCTCTGCTCGGCCTCCTGGGGCTGGACGTCACAGTGAACCCCTGCGTCCTGCCTCCTCCTGCAGCCCCTGGAGCCCTGGCCCAAAGACGGACACTCCCCCAGGAACTCCTCCTTCCCCGTGCACCTCACCCGGTCCAGGTGCACGGGGCCTTTGCTCTGACCGAACCCAGCGGCCGCCATCGCTCTGCCGCTGTGGGGGAACAGGAGGGGGTTAATTAGGGAAAAACACTGTAAAAAGAGACAGAGACAAGTGAGCAGGCAGGCAAGCTTATTTGTATAGCACAATTTCATACACAAGGCAACCCAAAGTGCTGAGTAAGAATAGAATTAAAGAAAAGTATTTTAAAATACAGTATTTTAAAGAATACTGTATTTATCTTAAATTGAGTACATTTTGGTGCCTTTGTGTTCTCACTCATCTCCTTTACACTAGAACTCTCAGAGCAGTCAAATAGACGGCTTTTTGGTTTTGGAAGTGTAACAGCTCACATACATTTCTCATCTTCAGTTTAGTCTTCATTGTGTAGTTTATTTTCATGTCAATATTTTTATGAAATAATCTTTTGAATTTTTTTAATGTGAGGCGCGCTACCCTTAACTCCCAGAGCCGTCATTTTGACTACTTCATTTTAATGTACACTTCAAATCTAGCCATTTTTGGTTGCTTTTCGTTAAGCCCCTTTTCTTCAAGTCATCTTCATAGCGATATTTCTTTACAGTGCTTTACAAAAGGTGCTGGTCCTGGACTTCTGATTCCGTTCGGTTTTCCACCAGAGCAAGTACTAGTTACCATAGCAACACACTATTTATTTGCCACATTTAGTATTTAGAAAAAGTGAGAGAAAGAAAAAAAAAACCCTTACTATTATCTAGTAAAAAAAGTATTACTCTAGTTGGAGCACGCATTACTCTAGTTGGAGCACGCGTTTTGACGTCTCTGCTCTGTTCACCCTTTTAAGCCTTTTAAAGCCTTTTAAACACGTTTTTACGGTGTATTAGTGTCTTTTGTACACTCTAGTGTTTTATTATCTTAAATGCAATGGTTCCAGAGCATTACGTCTTTTAACACAAAGACCAAATCGAAACGCGCTAGCTCGGAGGCTACCACGAGCGCACCACAGACATGGAAAGTGACACTGCAATGACCACGAACGACATTAGTCGCCTCACATTGGAGCTTCGTGAGAGGGACCGTGCCACTATTGCAGACCTCCGTAAAGAAGTCCTTCGCCTCACTGCAGAGCTGCAGGATAAACAGTCACTCGTGTCCAAACTTTTTGATGTTGCTGGCGGGCAGCACTCACGGCTTATGTCACTGAGCGCTGCATACTGTGACACTGTCGTGTGGGAGAGATCTGTCAGCTCTGGACCCTCCTGTTCTACACCTAAGTGCCCGGTTCGGAATAAAGAGCCTGCGGACTGCGAGGAGCCATCCTGCGCCGTGGCCCATGTCCTAACCCTGTCAAACCGCTATGCAGCACTCTCCACTGACATCCCAGCCCCCTCAGCAGAACCCCTGGACTCTGCAGCAAACTCTACTGCTGTCCGTGGATCCAGGTCCACTGCGAGAAAGACACTCTTAAAGGAAGCTGTCCTCAGACGAAAGAGTGGTCATTCCCCTTCTCTGACCCCAGTGCATCACCACCACTTACCTTCACCGGGTCAGCAGCAGCGACCCGAGCCTGCTCCTCTCGCTGCTCCAGCGTCTCCGTGCACACAGCGTGGGTTGCCCGGAGCTGAGAATCAACACCCCCACTCCCCTCCATGTGTTCAGCAGCGCCCTGGTTCGGACCCATCCCTGGATGAGCCCGCTGGTTCTGGCCATGGACACCGAGCGCCTTCTCCGCGGCCGCGTCCACTTTTCGCCCCAACTACTCTGATCGTTGGAGATTCCATCGTGAGGCACGTCCGCTTTTTTAACGCGGTCACTCACTGCATTACTGGAGCTACTGTCCCAGATCTGCTCATCCGTCTCCCTCCTCTGCTTCACTCCCTGCCCGATACCATATCCAAGGTAATCGTGCATGTGGGGATCAACGACATGAAGCTGCAGCAGTCAGAGGTCACAAAGAAGCACTTTATGAATCTGTTCCGCCTCCTCCAGTCCTCCGGGTTGTGTGTTTTTATCTCTGGTCCAGTCCCGACTGTAAACCGGGGTGACTGCCTCTACAGTCGCGTTGTGGCGCTCAACATGTGGCTCCAGTCTACATGCAGCACTTTTAACTTTATTTTTGTGAACAACTTTGGCCTGTTCTGGAAGCGTCACGTGGCCTATCGTCCAGATGGTCTGCACCCGAACAGATACGGCACCAGTTTGTTGACGGACTTCCTGCGCCATGTTGTTCAGTGCTCCCCGAGGGGGGCGTGACTGTTTACATCTGAGGCTTCTCGGCCCCCACCCCCCTCCTCCTCCTCCTTACCAGCACCGGGTGAGTACTGTGGTGCAAACACTGACCCCTGTCCGTCTGGCAGTGTAACGACAGTCCTGCCACTGAACTGTGCTGACTCAGTTATGCATCTGGAACTTAACAAAGTACAACAGAGTTCACTTTTTAAACCAATAGAGACTGTGTGTGTTCCTCGCACCAGCTCAGAAATGTGTTTTAACTTGAATAAACACAAATTTAAAAGAAGGACAGCAGTTAGACGGTCCAACTCTGGAAATCTAATTCCAGTTCTTTGTAATCAATCAACTAAACCCACTGACACTGATATTAATTTTAACCTTGCTCTACTTAATGTCAGATCACTATGCAACAAATCATTTTTAATTAATAATTTTATCTGTTCGTATGATCTTGATTTTATGTTTATGACTGAAACATGGCTTGACCATAATACAGGAGATGCAGTTTTAATAGAAGCCTCACCACCAAATTTCAAATTTGAATATGAAACACGAGAAAATAAAAGGGGGGGGGGCATAGCAGCAGTTTTTAAAGATCGTATTGTCTCCCATAGGGTGTCTCTTGGGAAATTTTCATCATTTGAGTATGTTTCTTTTAAAATAGAACAAAAGAAATCTTCTTCCATTCTTATTATTGTTGTGTACAAGCCGCCACAGTCATGCCATAGTTTCACTGATCATTTCACTGAGTTGCTTTCAGTTGTGTGCACAGATTTTGATGGTTTAGTCATTATAGGCGATTTTAATATTCATGTGGATAATGTTAATGACAGATACGCAAAAGAGCTGAGTTCCATACTTGAATCCTTTGGCCTCACTCAGCATGTGAGTGGCCCCACCCATAGCAGAGGACACACCTTGGACCTGCTTATCACGAAAGGGGTGAATATTTCAAAAGTTAATGTAGTTGATGTTGCTCTGTCGGATCATTTCTGTGTATTTTTTAACATGTGTTTTGCTACCAGACCACCCGCTAAATATGAAATTGTTAGAAGTAGACACTTAAATGAAAACACGGGTGAACTATTTATGGGAATGATCCATTTTGAGAACGCATCATGTTCTACTGTAGATGAACTGCTTAACTCTGTCACCTCTAGTGTGTTGAATGTTCTGGACGCCATTGCCCCTGTGAAGGTAAAAATGGTCACAAATAAGCAAAAAGCCCCATGGATAAAAGCAGGCCCGGTCAGGGCACAGAAGCAAGAGTGCCGGAGAGCAGAGAGAAAGTGGAGAAAGTCCAACCTCCAGGGTGATTATAGACTCTTAAAAGAGAAGTTGTGTGAGTTTAACAGAGTACTACGTAGAACAAGAGAATTATACTTTTCTGAAACTATTGAAGGCTGCAGCAACAATCTGCGTGTTCTATTTTCAACAATCAATAGATTAACGAACCCCCCTGTTGAGTTGCCATTAGAACACTACTCCAAATCCAGGTGTAATGAGTTTGCACAGTTCTTCAGAGACAAGGTTCAGGGTATCAGAAATGCCATCACCTCCACAACACAAGTAACAATGCAACATCCAGTGAGGGCTTTGTGAGCTAGCTCAATTTGCACCTGTCAATGATGAAACTGTTAAAAAGATAATCACAGGTCTTAGTTCCTCTACCTGCAGTCTGGATGTACTACCTCCTAGATTTCTGAAGTCTGTTATGTGTAGTCTATTACCCTCATTGACACAAATAGTAAACATGTCTTTTTTATCTGGAACATTTCCAATGGCCCTGAAAAAGGCAGTCATTAGGCCCCTCCTAAAAAAGAGCAGTTTGGATGCTGCGGTACTTGAAAATTACCGTCCCATCTCAAATCTGCCTTTCATGGGAAAAATTCTTGAAAAAGTTGCCTACCAACAACTTACTGAATTTTTAATATCTAATGACTCATTTGACATGTTTCAGTCTGGCTTTAGACCACACCACAGTACTGAGACCGCTCTAGTCAAGGTAACAAATGATATTCGGCTTAACACTGATGCAGGAAAAGTCTCTGTTTTAGTCATGTTAGATCTGAGTGCCGCTTTCGACACCGTTGACCATGAGATTCTCATGCAGAGACTGGAGGACTGGGTTGGTGTTGCTGGTACCGCCCTAAGCTGGTTTAGGTCCTATCTAGAAGAAAGGAAGTACTGTGTGGAGATTGGAAACTATGTCTCAGATAATATGGCCCTGACCTGCGGAGTGCCACAGGGGTCGATTCTGGGACCTCTCCTGTTCAATATTTACATGCTGCCATTAGGTCAGTTAATTCAAAGTATGAAAGTGTCCTACCACAATTACGCTGATGACACTCAGATCTATGTCTCACTGACTGCAGGAGAGCATGGGCCGGTGGACTCACTCCTTCGCTGTATCCAGCGGATCAGTGAGTGGATGCAATGCAATTTTCTCCAGCTAAATGCGGACAAAACCGAAATGATTGTCTTTGGTCCCGAGAAACAAAGAGAGACCGTCATTTGTCACCTTCAGTCTCTCTCCCTAAGGCCCTTAAATAAGGTCAGAAATCTGGGAGTAATAATGGACTCTGACTTAAACTTCAATAGCCACATTGGATCGGTAACATCAGCAGCTTTTTATCATCTGAAAAATATTGCCAAAATTAAAAATATTGTGTCCAGGGCAGACTTGGAGATTCTTATCCATTCTTTTGTTTCCAGTAGGCTGGATTACTGCAATGGCCTGCTCACAGGTATCTCCAAACATGCAGTAAGACAGTTGCAGTATATTCAAAATGCTGCAGCCCGAGTCCTGACTAGAACCAGGAAGTACGACCACATTAGTCCGGTCCTCAGGTCTCTGCACTGGCTTCCCGTGGCCCAGAGGATAGACTTTAAAGCAGCTCTCCTGGTGTACAAGTCTCTCCATGGCCTTGCACCAAAGTACATCCATGATATGCTAGTCTCATATGAACCAGCCCGGACTCTGAGGAGCGCAGGGACGGGACTCCTGTTAGTGCCCAGAGTCAGGACTAGACAGGGGGAGGCTGCTTTTCAGATTTATGCAGCTGGAGTCTGGAACGGTCTTCCTGAGGATGTGAGACTGGCTGCCTCTCTGTCAATGTTCAAATCCATGTTAAAGACTTTTCTTTTTTCCCGTGCATACAACTAGAGAATTTTATCTTTTTAACACACCTTGTTATTTATTGTTGTAACTTTTTGTGTTTTTAACTATTTTATTGTTTTTAATTACTTGTGTGATTTTTATGTTTTTAAATTACTTATGTGATTTTAATGCTTTTTAATTACATATGTGTTTTTAATTGTATTTTAATGGTGATGATTTGTGCATTGTGTGGTGTGGACTGTGAGGCGCTTTGTGTTGCCCTGTGCAGGAAAAGCGCCCTATAAATAAAGATTGATTGATTGATTGATAGTTACCATAGCAACACACTATTTATTTGCCACATTTAGTATTTAGAAAAAGTGAGAGAAAGAAAAAAAAAACCCTTACTATTATCTAAAACTGGTGGAAAAGTCCTTTTTTTTTAGTTTTCAAGAATCCCCTTGGTTTCAGTGGGAGCCGTCAAAATGACTGCTCTTGGCCCAGAATTTATAAATCAATATTGTGTTATCGTGACAGTATGTGTATATGTGTGTGTGTGTGTGTGTGTGTGTCTATGCATGCATGTGTGTGTGTATCGTTACGTTACATTCACCTGTGTCCCAGTTGTCTGCAGACCACGGCGGCGTTCAGGTCGTTCCAGCCCGAGTCACAGATCCCGCCCCAGTCGCCATGGAGATACACCTCCACCCGACCCTCGGCACGACTGCTGCCCCCGACCAGGCGCACCAGCGGACCTGCACCACAACCATCACCAACACGTTCAACATGCTGCTAACCAAACTGTTTCAATGCCAAAAAATGTGGTAGTTTATCTCATAGGAATGGGAATGACTCTTCTTTGGTAAAGAAAGGTTCATAATTTATACAAAAGAATCAATTAGCCGAATCCAGGCTAAAAGTAAGCCTGAGTCGAGGAAAGCTAAGGCTCCAATGGCCTATCCCATAAACACTTGGATGGTCTTTCTCTGGTCTCTCTCTCTTTCTCTCTGGTCTCTCCCTCTGGTCTGTCTCACTGGTTTCTCTATGGTCTCTCTCTCTGGTCTCTCACTGGTCTCTCTCTCTGGTCCGTCTCACTGGTCTCTCTCTGGTCTCTCTCTCTGGTCTCTCTCTCACTGGTCTCTCTCTGGTCTCTCTTTTGCTCTGGTCTCTCTCTCTTTCTGGTTTCTCTGGTCTCTCTTTGGTCTCTGTTCTCTCGCTGGTCTCTCTTTCGCTCTGGTCTCTCTCTCTCTGGTCTCTCTCGCTGGTCTCTCTCACTGGTCTCTCTCACTGGTCCCACACACTGGTCTCTCTCTCTGGTCTCTCTCTCTTGTCTCTCTCTGGTCTCTCTCTCTCTGGTCTCTCTCCCTCTGGTCTCTCTCTTTATAGTCTCGCAGACACCAACCACTCAGCCACCCATGTCTTTCACGTATAACTTTTTATAATGGCCAAATATAACGCATCATATTTCTTCTGTGTATCTGATTATAGACGGTAAACACAGTGTCACTCTGTCTGTGTCTGAGCTCAAACATGAACTCGCAGAATTAAAATGCCCTTTCCAGTTGTATTCTTATTCTAATGTGTCTCAGTCGTCCTTCTGCCCCGTCCCCTCCACAGTTCTCTGCTGGACTCAGACAATGTTTACACAGATACAAGCAGATAACAAACAGAGACCAGAGCGAATCATTCATCAAACTGAGAGGGAAGACAGAGGGTATAGTTTGCTTTGTGTCCTGCAATGTGACCTTTTTATGAAAACTAAAATGAACAATAGCTATAGTTCTTATCTGGGAAAGCGCACCAGGTTTCTTAAGGTAAAATAACAAAACAAAAGACAAATGTATACATATATTTCAAGAAGTGTTCGACAAAACAAAACTTTGAAACTGGCTTCTATAATTGGATAAAGTTCAAACTCCTCGTACTGGGACTCCGAGGAGCACAGGGACTGGCCTCCTGCTGGGACTCTGAGGAGCACAGGGACTGGCCTCCTGCTGGTGACTCTGAGGAGCACAGGGACCGGCCTCCTGCTGGTGACTCTGAGGAGCACAGGGACTGGCCTCCTGCTGGGACTCTGAGGAGCACAGGGACTGGCCTCCTGCTGGAACTCTGAAGAGCACAGGGACTGGCCTCCATAACTAAACATAGGGAGCCACCAAACTTAGACAGACTTTATTGATCCTCAAGGGGAATTGCGTTTTCTCAGTAGCTCGCATAGTTTTTCACAATAAAAAATAAAAACAAAAATAACATTTAAGTAAAAATCTGAATATAATAATAACACAATTTTGAGAAAAACTGAACTTCTGTTAATAGGAAGAAAACAAAAAGGTATTATTTATGACACAAAAATCTGGCAACCCCAGCTTTAAGTTTGATCAATATGATTACAATTCACTTGACCAAAACTATCTCATAAAAGGTAGATTTTGAAGGACAAGGAAGTGAATGAAGAAGCCTGTTGCCAGATTTGGATGCTGCTGAGTCTCACCTGTAGAGGGCGCTATCACAGAGGCTTCGTTAGGCTCTGGATTGCTGGTGCGGCCTCTGCAGCGCACTCCCACGTCTTCGGTGTGAGCGCAGTCGGTCCGGCCCCAGATCCCGTGGGAACAGTCCAGCAGAGAGGTCTCAGAGCCGTCACAGCGAACCTCGTCCAGCAGAATGAGACCCACGCCCTCCCCAAACGTCCCGTCTGACACCACCTCCGCGTGGCCCCTGGAGAAAGCAACAAGTGCATTAGTCCAGGTCTCAGGTCTCTGCGCTGGCTTTCTGTGGCACGGAGAATACACTGTGTATACTGCAAAAAATGATAAAATATGAGGTAATAATTGCTTGAAGTGAGTGGTTTTGATCTTAATCTGAAATTAAGATAATTAGTCTTATTTAAAAAACCGTTGCTTTATTTTCTCATTCCAAGGGAGACATGAGACTTGTATCTTTTAAAAACAAGATCGTTTTGGTTGTTCCATTAGCAAATATTTTTTTAGGCAGTCAAAGGTATTTTTTTTCCCATTACTTTTTGCAGAGTATAAGTCCATAACCTCACACCAAAGTGCATCTGTGACATGTTAGTGCCACATGAACCGACTGGGACTCAGAGGAGCACAGGGACTGGCCTCCTGCTGGGACTCGGAGGAGCACAGGGACTTGAAAAGAATAGTCGATGGGCGATAAGCTGTAGGTGCTACGGTTGGCTACTTGTCCATGTGAACACAGGTTTAAGCTAGCAACTCCCTATTTCGAGTTGATACTTAGTTATTTAAAATAAATGTGTATTGTAAATCTCAGTTATGTATATTGAACTCGAAATAAAAACATTTCATTCATTCATTCATTCAACTCCCTATCTGGAACTATCATAGATCCATGGTGTGCACCTGTATCCCAGCTGTCTGCAGAGCACCTCTGCGTGCTGCTGCCCCCAGTGGTCGTCACACACAGTGCCCCAGTCTCCGTTATGGAACACCTCCACTCTGCCCTCCCAGGGGGTGTCACCTCCGACCAGCCGCACCACTCCGTCTGTTAGACCCAAGAGCAGGAAATAAACATAGACGTTAGAGCTGGGGTACATGTCTTTCAAACCGCACAACAAAATCCCAAATAAAGGATTATCTTATCTCAATTAAAGTTCAATTAAAGTATCTCATAATTCGTCAATATTCCACTATTTGTTGTGAGGATTCGTGCATTCATATGTTTGTGTATTTGTGTAGAGCTCAGGTTATCAAAGCTTATTTTTTCATACATAACAGATAGACAAAGATTCTGTGTATTGTTGTCCCGCCAATAGAGTTGGGTGTATCTGGCTTGAGTTTGTGTGTGACGGGATTGTCGGGAGGAAGCATCGGGTTACACACACACACACACACACACACACAGGCAAAACATACATCAAACATTTCCCCATTGACTGTTATCCTATTTATAAGTCAGTATGTTTTTTAGCTTTCCAATTCTAGGGCAAACAAAACGCCACCCAGATATAGACTGATAACAGATTTTTATTACAGCTTTAAAACCAGTGTCATCTATTCAACCAGTTTTACAATTGTGAGTCAACGTCAATTAAATTCTGTACAATTCATTCTTGTAGAGCCCTAAATCACAACTGTAGTTCTTTCGGACAATGCAAAACCGGACAATTCGCCAACACAGATCATAAAATCAAACCGTTCAGACACAAGAAATGCAATAATAAAAACACATTGGTCCATTAGTGGCAGATGACCAGTGTCTATAAATGATGATAAATGTCCATAAATGTTGTTGAATGTTGAGTGTCCTGGATCATCTCCACTGTACTTTTAGTTAGACCCTCACAAGCTCTAATTGACCCTCCTGCATCGGCAAGGAACATCTCAGAGATTCATAAAGCAACTGTAGAGTATTTCAAAAGACACTAGCATTTCAAATGATACAATTCTTACATCGCAGATCTAAAACGGCAGAGAAATTAACAAAGTTACTGTTTGAGTTTAGGGAAATGTACAAAGTCTCCAACTGAATAATGAGAAAACTCGACCCCAGCGTGAAGCGGCTGAGAGAAGGTGGTCTCTTCTCTGTGGATCAGCGTCATATTTTCAGAGACGTTGTAAAAGGACAGAACCCCTGCACGGTGGTCCAGGAAAACCCCGATTCTGGACCCAACCGGACCTGAGGCTTTCGTCTCAACTTTGTCAAACCAAAATGAAGGACTGGTTTTGTAGCACTCTAAGGCCCAGGATTTATCGTTTAATCCAAATCTACATTTATCAGAGAGTCCTTTCCTCTGAATATCTCTGTAAGAAACTGAGACATAGACACCAGTTGCACTCCACTCCACCTCCCAGTAACAGCGTCCTGTCACACTCTCTCGGCTCAGGACCTGATACCACTCACTGAATCTGTCCTGATGATCTGGATACTCTTGATGTTCACTGATAAATGTCACTGTTTCGTTTCCATCAGACAGAGACAGACTGGGGTGAGCTGTGTTTAGATCCAGAGTGAAGTCTGTAGAGTATTGTAAGAACTCTTCTCTGGTCTTGGGTTCTGTCAGTGAAAGCTGGACACGACTCAGAGCCAGTGAGATGCCGCTGCGTCCCTCGTCCACAGTGAGCTGCAGTTCCTCCTCCAGCTCAGACACAGCTCTGGTCACTTCCTCAAAGAGACTCCTGGCGTCTGTGTGGCCCCTGACTGAGACCGGCCCCTGTGAGTGTGAGGCCAGTGAGGAGTAGAGCTGTAGAAAGGTGGTGTGGTCTTTGGTGAGGGACAGTGTGTCCAGGTCACAGAGGCTCTGCTTCAGCTCACTCAGCTCCTGTTTCACTTGGTCTTGGATTTCTCGGATTCGTCTCAGTCCTCTCTCCTCCTCAGACTGGATCTGCCACTCCACTTCTTTGGCTCTTGTCTCCAGGAGAAGGATCATGTCTCTGAAACTGTCCCTGCAGAGCCGCAGTGCTGTGTGGGCAGAGTCCCTGATGTCCTTTTCCTGCTGTTGGAATGAGCTCAGCTCTGAGTCTTTGTGCTGGAGGTTCTGGAGGAGCAGATGTCTCTGGGCCCCCAGCTGTGCCTCCCTCTGGGCCCTCTCTGAGGCTGAGGACACCACCTCATGGTCCTTGTGTTGGTCCACAGAGCAGAGATAGCAGATGATCTGCTGCTCAGTGCGACAGAACATCTTCTTCAGCTCGTTGTGCTCAGAGCAGATGTTTTCCTGGAGAGTGTGCAATGGCGCCACCAGCTGGTGTCTTTGAAGCACTGCAGACACATGATGAGGCTGTAGGTGGCGCTCACAGTAGGAGGCCACACACTGCAGACAGGACTGCACCGCTCTCAGCTTCTTCACAGAACAGACATCACAGGACACGTCCTCAGGTCCACAGAGGTCTTCTGCTCCAGCATAGAAGTCCTGACGGTCAGCAGGTGGTTCTGTCGTCCTCTGCTCCAGTAGAGCTGCTAACATGATGTTTTTGGCTAGCACAGGCCTGGGGGTGAAGCTCAGTCGACACTCAGGACAGGTGTAGAGCCGCTTCTCCCCGTTGTCCCAGTGGTCCTGGATACACTTCAGGCAGTAGCTGTGTCCACAGGGAAGAGTGACCGGAGTCTTCAGTAACTCCAAACACACAGGACAAACAAGGACCGAGGGCGGCTCTGCTCTCTGCGCCATGACTGCTGCAACAATGTCACTGACACAGAAACGAAACTTATGAGGAAGAAGAGGGAGAGGGAGGAGGCGGGCCAAGCCACACCTGTGTGTGTGTGTGTGTGTATGTGTGTGTGTGTGTGTGTGTGTGTGCGTGTGTGTGCTTGCATGTTTGCTGAGGTAAATTCCTGCACCAGGCCTTATCTGTGTGTGTGTGTGTGTGTGTATATTCGTGAGTGTCTGTGTATAGAGCAGAGAGAGCATAGGGACCTGATCTCATTATTGAATGATCCACTGGTCAGACTAATATTAAATCTAGACATGGAATCAACAAAAATCCAAACTAAGATTAGCAAAGTTAATGCTCATTGATATTGGAATGTAACTTCAGTTATCATTTTGTTAAATCATGTGTGGCTAAATTATATACTGTAAGCAAATATTCACTTTGGTGCCAGGATGTAAGAGAGCCCGCATGGAGGGGAGTGGGCTTTAAGGATGCTAATGGAGAAGGCCTTGTCACATTGTCCTTTTGTTTTCTGTTGGTTCCTCTTCCTGTGGAAGGTGTGTCTTATCTCCTGAGATACTGCTTTGCAGTCTGACACATGTTCTGGACACGAGGCTGAGCTGAGCTGGTGCTCTTTCCCTACAGACTGTCTCCTTGGAAGGGCAACCAAGTATTGAAGAATGCCTGAACTATACCTTGTGTGTTTGTGATTTTGTCAGGATTGACTGCAATAACACTAATTTAAACTTATGGTAAACAGAAGACATTTAGACAATCAGAGGAAATGAATGTTGAGAAATTACTCAGAGACTCAGACCAAACGGGATCCTGTGCATCATGGCGTGGTTGCTTATTCATAAAATGGCTGTTGATTTAGTTAATTCAGTTTGGTCCGTTTTTTCAGAAAGAAAATATTTAGGATATGGTTTATATAGTCAATGTTTACGTCACACATACGTCATACATGGAAAAGCATTCGTGTCATATCAAGAGAACAATCAGAACATAACAAGACATCGAAAGAACAGAACACGGACACACAATCATAGCAGATACACAATCGGGTCGTTGTGTCCTATAAGGCCAGATCACTTTATAGCTATCTAATTACCACAACAGATAACAGCTCAGAATGCAGAGGAGCACAAAGGAAACATCTGCTGAATTCATTTTAGAGGATACATACATGCATACATTCAACATATATTACTATTGTGTTTTTTGTGTGGTGAGCATTTCCCCTCACTCCTCTCTCCTGACATAATGGCATTTATTTGTTTAGCACTGTTCTTCATACTCAAGGCAACTCAAACCTTTTGGGGACCCCGTTGGTGTGAGTACCTGTGTAGGGGCTGCAGGAGACCCCCGCGTCCTCCATGTGGTCACAGTTGTGTTGTTCCCAGTCTCCATGGCGACACTGATCCAGGAAGAGCTCGTTGCCGCTGCATTTCACCGCGTCCAGGAGGATCGGCCCGGAGCCCTGTCCGAAGTGTGCCCACGACCACGCCTTCGCCACACCACTGACAACAAACACACACACAACAGTTACAGCTTGGAGGACGTCCACATGACATTGGATCATGTGACATCACAACATTGTAAAGTTAATAAAGGTAGGAAATAAGCTGAAGGTCTGTAAGAATGGGGAGTAGTTCATTGCAGATGATCCAGGACGTTTATTTAACATTTATGCACATTGGTCATCTTCTCCTTTTGGACCTACTAGTTCGTCTCCTGCCTGCTTAATAACACAGGCTTGGCTTTGTTTCAACTGTTTGATTCTCTGATCTGTTGTTGGGGAATCGACATCGACAGTCCCCCGAGACGACTGCTGTTGTGATTTAGGATCACACACAAAAACATTGAATTGGATCCTGATGAAGTCGTGGGAGCTACAGCCCGAGGTGACATTGCCTTTGCTCGTCACAACCTGCTCCATCTGCGTTCCTGAATTATACATGGAGGAAAGAGGAAGTCATTTGTTTTAGGACTACGTTTCCCACAATGCATCTGTCAGGAGAGCGCGCAGCTAGCCCCAGGCCAATTTTAACAAATCTCTGTGAGACAAATGAATTCTAAAGCAGCTTGCGTTTCGGAGAGAGTTTGAGTTGAAGGTTAAATTTAGATTCTATAGAAGTTTATGGAAAAACTTTTCTGGCAAAGTATATGGCAGTGGTTCTCAACTGGTGGGTCGATTCCCGAAAGTGGACCGTGGAATAATTATTCTCTAGGCAACATTCATTCAATATTTATATTTATATAGAATAAAATAAAAATTGAGAAATACGTAAAATTGTTTTTTTCTTGTCTTTGAAATTCCATATGTCTCCTGGGAACGCTTCAGGATTCCCCCAGATGAGCTGGAGGAAGTGTGTGGAGAGGGAAGTCTGGGTGTCTCTTGCTGCCCTCGCGACCCGGCAACGGATAAAGCAAAAGAAAGTTGAATCAGAATTATTTTGACAGCCTTTATAAGTATAAGTCCCTCCAACATGTCCTGGGTCTGCTCCCCTTGAAAGATCCTTAAAATCTGCCTTCAGCATATATTTAAGGATCTATACCTGTATTAAACTACTCATTAAAAGTTCCAATGCCCAAAAAAGTCTGAATAATTGTTGTCCCAAAGTTCAATACTGCCTTTAAAACGGACCAGTGCATCCACATTACTTCAGTTAGACGTGGTTTGCGACTAAAAGCTGGCAGAGAAACTTTGTCCTTGAAGAGAACGTCCATCTTCTTTTCAGATTTTATGCCAACTAAAGACAGCACATGAATAATGAATCTGAGAAATGCTTTATTCATAACAACACGGTGGAGAGATCCTGTTTTTAGCTGCTCTGAGCTGGAATCTGAATACAAAAAGCCAAGGATAACTTTACATATCGCCAAAAGCATACGCAGAAATGGTAGAGCAAGGTAAGTCACGGCAATGACCCGACAATTGCCAGGATCCACAGCCTCAGTCCTGGATTGACAGCCTGAGTCCTGGATCTACAGCCTCAGTCCTGGATCTACAGCCTCAGTCCTGGATCTACAGCCTGAGTCCTGGATCTACAGCCTCAGTCCTGGATCTACAGCCTGAGTCCTGGATCTACAGCCTGAGTCCTGGATCTACAGCCTCAGTCCTGGATCTACAGCCTGAGTCCTGGATCTACAGCCTGAGTCCTGGATCTACAGCCTGAGTCCTGGATCTACAGCCTGAGTCCTGGATCTACAGCCTCACTCTTGGATCTACAGCCTCAATCCTGGATCTACACTGTGTCTTTACCTGAAGCCCAGCTGTCTGCACACCACCTCAGCGTCGCGGTCGTCCCACTGGTCGTCACAGATGGAGCCCCACTTTCCCCCGTGAAACACCTCAACTCGGCCCTCGAAGTCCTCCTCCCCTCCCACCAGCCGCAGTGGAGGTCCGTCACCTGTAGGGGGAGCACACAGCCAGAGTACATGATAAAGAGACATGTACTGTATATACATAGTATGTGATTATGAAATACGAACCTAAGTTATTGCTCCTATTTTGGTAGAGCTCACAAAATAGTAACTAAAGAAACATGCCAGCTCTGGGTTTGGTAGTTGCCTATTTTATTTTTTGAGGTTTTATTCATGTTACAAGAAGGTTTCAAATAAGGCCGCACATCCCTGTAGTCTAGATTAGAGTTCTAGATTTAAAAAGTGCAAAACGACATATTGGGATCAACATAGCTGTGCAGATTTATTTCACGTCTATCTATGTTACAACATTTTTTTGCGTGGTTCCTCTCTTTTGCAGTAGGGTCTAAGGACAGTAGACATTATCCATCCATCCATTTTCTACCCTTATTTCTGGGTCAGGGGGGTGGCAATCAGAGATGCCACCAAGTCTCATAGCGCCAGCCCCTCACTGACCCTCTGCAGGTGGTTAGTCCACAGGAGGACGGCTGCTCTCTGAGTGTGAGCATAGCCTTGATCTTTCAGTGGGGGCTTTTGGGTAAAGTGCGATTAAGTGTCTTGCCCAAGGACACAACGACAGCAGTCATCAGTGGGAGTCGGTGGGGAAGGTGTCGAGGTGGGAATTGAACCCTCGACCTTCAGGCCTGAAGGCCAATGCTCTACCAACTGAGCTACTGTCGCCCTTCAGACATTAAAGTAGACATTAAAGGACATTTATTAAGATTTCTGATCTGTGGTCATCCTGCTCCCTATGAAGTAATGGCTCCAATGTGTTTGTTATCGTTACATTTCCTGTGTTTAAATGGTTTGATTTTCTGATCTGCTGTTGGTGAATCAAGAACTTTGTAAAGTCCTCCGAGAAGACTGCTGTTGTGACTGACCTTCTGGGGGGGCGCAGAGGACCCCCGCCTCGTTGCCGTGGCTACAGTCTCCGGTGACGAAGGTCCGGCTACGACATGCACTCACGCCGTCCTCGTCTCCGCGGCAACCGAGGCGCTCAAAGTGGAACAGGCCCGGACCGGATTCCGAGGAGCCGGGGTCCGAGCTCCGCAGGGTGCTGCCGATCTCACTGCAACATCAGAGGATCACAACAGGACCAATAGTATCAAGTGAAAGTGTTTAAATTTAGAAAGATAATAAAGTTAAAGACGACCTGTAATAAAACATTGTTACTGTATAAGAGAGCTCTAAACCAGGTGCTCCACTCTGAAAGATAACTGTGAGCTGTGAGACCAGAGAGAGACCAGAGAGAGAGACGCCAGAGAGAGAGAGATCAGAGAGAGACTAGAGAGAGAGACCAGAGGGAGAGAGATCAGAGCGAGAGACGCCAGAGAGACCAGAGAGAGAGAATACAGAGCGAGATCAGAGAGAGGCCAAAGGAAGACCAGAGATAGAGATCAGAGAGAGAGAGACTAGAGAGAGAGACCAGAGAGAGACCAGAGAGAGAGACCAGAGAGAAAGACCAGAGAGACACCAAAGAGAAATCAGAGAGAGAGACCAGAAAGAGAGACCAGGGAGAGAGACCAGAGAGAGGCAAAAGGGAGACCAGAGAGAGAGATCAGAGAGAGAGACCAGAGAGAGACCAGAGAGAGAGACAAGAAAGAGAGACCAGAGAGACACCAGAGAGAGACCAGAGAGAGAGACCAGAGAGAAAGACCAGAGTGACACCAAAGAGAGACCAGAGAGAGACCAGAGATAGACTAGAGAGAGACCAGAGAGAGACCAGAGAGAGACCAGAGAGAGAGACCAGAGAGAAAGACCAGAGTGACACCAAAGAGAGACCAGAGAGAGACCAGAGATAGACTAGAGAGAGACCAGAGAGAGACCAGAGAGAGACCAGAGAGAGAGACCAGAGAGAGAGACGCTCTTCTCTGAAAGAGGATTGTCATCTGTCTGTAGCTTGTATCTGTTTTATTTAAGTACTTCTCTGGTGCACACTGGATCTCACCTCAGTCCCAGCTGTTTACAGACCACTGTTGCGTCTCTGTGAGTCCAGTGAGAGTCACACACTGCCCCCCACTGGCCATTCAGGTAAACTTCAACACGACCGCTGTGCTTAGAACCACCAACCAATCGCACAGCCCCTAGAACACAGAGAGCTCAGGAAGTTAAAGAGATGGTATTTAAATACATTTCAGCACATTACTTTTGACCATTTATGAACAAAAGTTTAAATTAGAGTCATTGTTAATTAAAAACACAATTAACTTGATGTCTATAATATGTATGTTTAAGGTTTTCAAGCAGATTATCCAATCAGAGAGCAGAAAGATTTGGGTTAGCAGTTTGTTAGAGCCAAAAAACAGCTAACTTTCAGAATATTTCTTACAGAATTCACAGACTAAAACATTAGCAATAACATGTATTTCAACAAAAGCAGGTACAAGAATATTAAGTAATCTTATTTTAAATGGGGCCTTTCACAAAGTCACAGTCACGAAGCAATTGTGGGAATTTCTCTCACTCCACACAGAGATGGGAGCGAGTACGGTAAGAATGAGGGGTACAAAGCACAAAATAAATAACTTGTACTGTGACTCTATAACTCAATTAACCGTACCAAAATACAATAAAATCTCTAACATTTGCAAAAAAAAAGAAACAAAAATAAATACTGTCTATTCTAGTGCAAGAAATATATGGTTGTGTGCAAAAATCTGTACATGAGCATTAGAGTTAGTGTTTGGAAGGAAGGAAAGATCTGCAGAACCTCAACTTCACAACGCGGGGGTGGATCAGTCTGTCGCTGAAGCTACTTTCTGCGTTTCTGTGTTTTCCTCACCCTGGTGGCAGTCGCAGTAGGCCCAGCCGATGGCCCCGGAGTTCTGCCTGAAGAAGCACCAGGGGTTGGACTCTCGGTCTGGGTTCCGGCAGTAGCTGTGGTCGCCCAGCCCTCGCCCCGGATACTGCATCACGTAGTCGGGAAACTCCGTCCACTTCAGACAGGGGGCGCCAGAGTCCGTCTGCGACACGGTGCCGTTGTAGTACCCCAGCTCGGTGAAGCCCTCGGAGCAGGACAAGGGCACTGCCAAAGAGAGAGAGGATAGGGAGTTTTAAAGTTGATTCTAACTGAACCATTAGATCTAAAGTCATCATGTCATTTCCCCATTGTGGGACTAATAAAGGTGTCATTCATTAATTAGTCACGTGCCTACATTAATTACATATATCTTTTATTTCAATAACTTTTGTAACCTGAACATTATTTCACTCTTCAAATATCACTGTGTTTGTCTCCTATGATATATCTAACTGACATTTCTTATCCAAACAACCAACATTTTATAAAGGAAAATCACAGCAATTGAATTACCGCTGTTTTTTTAGAGGTTTTTGGTCATAGCAGTCTTTGCAATTAGCTCATTTGAGAACATATTTTGAAAACTCAAGCTCACAAAAATCTCTCACGCCAGCTCCTCTGCTCTGTCTGCCTCTGCCTGCCCTTCCTGTTCGCAGCTTGAGACATCACTTCTCTCTCTCCCCCTCGTTTCTCGTCACGTTCTGAAGCTGCTTTTCTGAGCCCTCTCTCCTCAGACGGATTGAAAGCCTCTCAGATGAACCAGAGGAAATGCATTAGGCTCGGCCCCGGAGATCTGCTCTTGTAAGCTGCTGTAGCGTCACTTAAATACCGGCTCTGGGATCACAGGGCTTCAAAAGAACAGCTCCACCCAGAATTCTATTAATATGAGTTTGTTTTAGCAACGTCCAGAAATGTTTAGCCAAAAGTACAGCCACTATAGAAGTCTGTCTCACAATTACGGGAAGACTGTCCCAGATATTTGCCACGTATATTTGAAACGCTGCCTCTCCATGTTTAGTCCTGACTCTGGGACCAGCAGGAGGCCAGTCCCTGTGCTCCTCAGAGTCACCAGCAGGAGGCCAGTCCCTGTGCTCCTCAGAGTCTTGCACACATATTAATATTAAACCAGGTAAAACTGAGATTGTAATCATTCTCTGGCTTCATTAGACCAGTGAGATTATTACAGTATCTTTAAAAGAGTAGATAATTATGTCAAACTGTGATTCTGATTTGATTGCAGAAAAGCCATCTTCGTTAGCGCCCACTCACCGCTGCTTCTACAGTGGTTCATGTGTCTACTGTTTTATACTGTACATTATGGATCTATTTAAGACTTTTTGAGCCGTAATGTAGATTATGACCCTGGCTTTTGCAGATCAGGGACTTCAGGTGTAAATTAGCACTGCTGCTACAACCTGCTCAAATCCATCTCTCCTCTTGACTCTTCATTGTGCGCTTGTAAAAATAAAAATCACTAATACACTAATACAGGCTCAAAAAGGCGTTGGAGGAAGCGTTATATTTTCTCAAACCCTGTCTGACCATTCAACACAATAATGAATACACAGAATACAATGCAGTGGATCAATATTTGGGGTTCAAAGGGGTAAAATATTTCTAGTACATTTCTGGAAAGTTTCTGATAAATTTTCATTGTTCTGTCTCTGGTCTCTCTCTCTCTAGTGTTTCTCTCTGGTCTCTTTCTGGTCATCCTCTGGTCTCTATCTTTGATGCCTCTCTGGTCTCTCTCTCTGGTGTTTCTGGTCTCTCGCTTTCTCTCACAGGTCTCTCTCTGGTCTCTATCTCTGATGCCTCTCTAGTCTCTCTCTCTCTATGGTGTTTCTGGTCTCTCTCTTTCTCTCTCTCGCTGGTCTCTCTGGTCTCTAAATAGTAGTGTATGTGAATGTGATTGAGGAATGACATGGAGCTCCAAGTGTATCTGAATGGCATCTGTTTGTTTTAGTTGATCCAAGTTTCAGTCCAAAGTGCTAAAGTAACAATCCCCCCAGAGTATAAAAAAAGTATCTCACACACACAGTTTTCTCTTATGTAACACTATCAGGAAGGAATCCTTATGAGTGTTACTTTAAGAGAAAAACAGGAAGAGCAAGTTCCAGTAATGTGGCAAAACAACCCGAGATGAGACCAGAGTGAGTCCGGTCTCAGCCACAACAGATCTGAACAGGTAAAGTCTTGTTTGAAGTTTAAGTATTTAGCAGAAAGAATGTGAAGGGGATGTGTTTGTGTATTTTGTTAAAAACCAGGGCTCACGTGAAGTGGGAAGTACAGATAGAGCTATAAATATATGTTTTTTGTGTGTATTTTCGTTTGGGAATGTGAATATATTGAGAGAAAGAGTCAAGAAAAGAACATTTGACCTTGATAATTTTTAAGTTGATAAAAGCTTGAATCAATTTAAAATCTTTGTGAAAGTGTGAGGGGTCATCAAGAACAGTCGGCTTGGCAAATCTCACTTTGCCTTTTCAGTTTGCAGCTTGATCATGTTTCAGTTGGGTACTTTTTACCTTCACTGAAAGAAAATAAATGTGCATCACTGTGATTTATAAGCAATGTATGTTCATGGATTGGTTCATAAATTCAATGTTATGTAACAGAATTTTGTATATTTGGTTTGAAGATTTTATCTTGTAAAACCCAAGGAAACGGATACATTCTAATTAAAGTTAAAAAAAATCTAGATGAATTTCAAAAAATAAGAAAAAGTTATATAAATTGTACATTTAACAAGAACGTAAGCAAAAAAAACAGTCTAAAAATAGGAAAAGGCTGCCAATATGAGCAGATTATATATTTCTGAAAGCATTATTTAAAAAATATATATAAATTATAATATTTTACTTAAAACTGACCTTTTTATTGGAAGAAAATTCCTTAAATCAAGAAGCATGCTCTTGTTTTTGTTCCCATTATTCAACAGGAAAAAATCTATTTGATTAATGTAATAGTCCGTGTTCCACCAGGAATCACTGCCTGAAGAAATAATGTGTGTTATTATATGTAAAGGTTTTGTTTTTTTTTACAAAATACATAGCAACATCTTACTGTCATTACTGCATATATTGTGATATTTTTCAGTAATGACACATTACTGTACACTCACGATGATCATGAAGAGAATAGAATTTTCTTAAGATCATGCTTCGGGCCTGATGCATTTGTTTCTCTTTTATGTCCTGTTTGTGCAGAGATGGCGTCGCAGGCTCCTCTCCTGTCAGAGGACCAGCTGCTCTGTCCCATCTGTCTGGGGCTGTTTGTCCAGCCGGTGTCCACTCCCTGTGGACATAACTTCTGCATGTCCTGCCTGTCATCCTACTGGGACAGCAGCTCAGCGTGTGTCTGCCCCATGTGTAAGGAGAGCTACAGCCAGCGCCCACAGCTCCGAGTCAACACCTTCATCTCTGGTACTCCTGCTTCTGTTCTGGTTCTCTCTCAACATCTACATGAGTTAAACTAATCTCTCTGGAAAGAAAACTCCTCCAACTCAGTGACCGTTTAGTTTAGCACTCTCTAGGATCCTGGTGTTTGTAGTGTGATATTGTCTTTGTAAATCCAGATATATCCAGAGCCATATACAGTAAGGATGGACCAATCAGACGACTTCATTTGAGAAACTCCAGCTTGCCATACACTGATGTAAGCAACACGTCTGCCCCTGTTTTGGTGCGAAGCTAACCCCATCAGAACCAGTCCCCATACTGTATAAGGAAATTGGCTCCAGCTGGCTTATGTTCAACACAAACACTATGGTGACATCATGGTCTTTTATCAACATTTCTGAACAGTGGTCACTCCGCTCCAAATGGACCAATGGCTCCTATGTGTTTGCAAAGTCCTCCGGGATGACTGCTGTTGTGATTTAGGGCTATACAACAAGGAGCCAACAAGTATAATTTGCTTAGTTCTAGTGTTTATATTGTAATCGGAATAGACACAGTTATAACAGAATGACCCCATCTTGATTCAACCTCTATCAATACCATTCACTCATTCTAAAATACAGTTATATTCTAGCTAATATAAAGTGTAAGAGTCAAATTTTAAATCTTTATGTACTTTTGTTCTCAGGACTGTCCCAAAGCTTCAGGAACCAGTCTCTGAGCACGGAGGAGACCCAGTCCAGGGGCATGAAGGCCACGCTGGGAGGCACCGAAGCCAAGATCAACTCCATGATCCAAGAGCGAGTCCAGAAAGTCCAGTCCATCAGACAAGCCATCGCCCAGAGACACGACGAAACCAGGCATTTGACCAAAACCATGGCCGACATAACCTCGCTGGTCAAACAGATGGAGGAGAAACAGCAGCACGTGGATTTAGAAGCACAACAAGTCATCCGAGATATCGAGAATGAGATTATAGCGTTTACAGAGACGCAAACGAAGCTAAAAAGCGTCAAAACCGACAAAGAAGCTAGTCTATTTTTGCAGAAGTACACAGCTCAGTCCGAAGCACCTCCAATCCACCTCAAATCCGAACTAGACTTACAGCATTTGCGTTCGTCTTTGGTTACTTCTCTGTCCCAATTACGAAACCAGCTGAACAAAATGGACGCTATTTTCATTTCCGACATCACTGCTTTAAAACTAGCACAAAAACATGCCATAGACGTCACGCTAGACCCGAAAACCGCCCATTACCGCCTCGTTCTGTCCAGCAATTTGAAGCAAGTCAAGTTCAACCCAGATGCTAACGCTAAATCGGCCGCGCTTAGCAACCCGGCTAGGTTTGCAAGAAACTTGGCCGTGCTGGCAGGCCGTGGAATCCGGTCCGGCAAGTTCTATTTCGAGGTGTTGGTCGGAGGCAAAGCTGAATGGATTGTAGGTGTGACTCTGGCGTCCGTGCAGAGAAAGGGGAAGATTCCGCATGAGCCAGGTTGCGGAGTTTTCGCCATCTGCTTTCGAATGAACTACTTCGAGACCTTCTTCCAGCCCAATGTCCAGATTCACCAAGGGAAGATAGACAAGGTCGGGGTGTTTGTGGACCATGAAGCAGGCAGAGTTCTGTTCTATGACGTGACCGGAGCAAAGTTAATCTACTCGTTTGAAGACTGTGGATTCGCGGAGAAGATATATCCTTATTTTAACCCTTGCAACGACGAGTTCCCCAACAACCTCGGGCCATTGGTGATAGTTCCAGTTCAGCAAATCAAGTGAAAACAGACCACTGCTGAGCTAGATTATAAATATGTGATATATTCAACTTAAGAAAACCTCTAAATGTCTGGTTATATCCTGTCTATTGTTAGCAACTTTTAGAATTATGTGCTTATTTATGTCTGTATGGATGGATGTGTTTCTACTGCAAAACATCTGCCTTTCTGCGGTGATAACTAAAGTATCTATATATGTGTGTGTCTATCTTCTTTATGTTCATGTGCAGTATCCAAAGTGTGTGTATTTAGCTGGTTTTGCTGGTATTTAGCTTCATCCTGCCACAGTCCCAGTCAATCCATCTACACCTGCTTTCAAGAATCCAGTATCTACTTTAAATAAAACTAACATTAACTTGCATTCTTGGATCGTCCAGTCTGTTTGACCTAAGTGTGATTAATTGCGAGATAACTATGACATAAATGTGATTAAATATGGGGAAATATTGTAATTTTAGTTTAGTTTTAGTTTAGTTTAGTTTATTTTGAAACATGTGTGCATACTTCCTACATAAGCCGCAAAACAAAACCAAAAATGTCTAGTCCATTCACATGTTCAAAAGGGAGTAGGAAGAAGCAAAAGCTTATATGGTCCTACCCCTCATTTACAAAATATGTTATTCATGTGGAAACAAGGGAGATGGTGCAAAATGTGTACAAACAAACAATAACATGTATTTCTCTGAAAAAGGTAAATACAAGATTAAATGTGTGTATGTAGTTTAACGCATACACACACACACATATCTATACACATATACATACATATACACACCATTATACTCTTCATGTGTTCGTCATTGAGCCTACTGGGCGAAACCTCATTCTTCTTTACTATATTCCTCAATTAGTTGTTTTTTATATAAACTTTTGAAGTGCAGAATGGTGCTGCTTTGTTTTAATTCCTCTGACAGACTGTTCCATAGTTTAACGCCACCAATAGAAATCGCTTGACAGCACTAATATATATATAATTTATCGTCAAAGCATCTACATCTGCTTCTCAAGAATTAATCCACATCTACATTAAATAAAAATCTGTAACATTATTGGGGCTGCCAGTCTGTTTGACAAGTGACTTACAGTTCCGTCCAAACATCTGCAGCCACTCCAAAGCTCACAATGTCACACCCCACTGCATTATGGGAGATGTAGTCCAGTTCACACGTGGTTGGAGGACTGGTCTCAGGACAACACTGGGAGTCACAGGACCTCAAGACAGAGCGACGTCAGCGGGTTATTGGACACATCTACCCACGATGCACCTTTTCGCCCTCGTCGCATGCAGACGCCTTCACAGACTGAGCCATCTCAAACTGGACTAGGGTTGCCAGTCCCAATGGTGAAATCCAGTGATCATAGCACTCACTAAACACCACATCTGCAGGTAATGATTAATCAGACACAGATCTTATAAAAACTATACACTAAACCACTAGTTGATAATGCATCCTGTTTTCCTGTGATATGATTTTTGATTCTATCTTTTTATGCATGAGGCTAATTTGATATTTTTACCATCAAATCTGGACAGGAGAAAGAATTATAAAACAACTCTGGTTCAATCATTATAGTTCCTGTTGCTTGAAGGGAAACTTCAAGATGTGTAGACTATTGTTATCGCCAACAGCAAAGTAAGGACAAAATATCTCATCCTTTGTGAGTTGTTCTTTGTTCGCTCTGGTATCTCTCTGTTCTCTCTTGCTGGTCACTCTCTCTGGGCTCTCTCTGTTCTCGCTCACTGGTCTCTTGCTGGTCTCCCTCTCTGGTCTCTCTCAGGTCTTTCTTAGGTCTCTCTCTGGTCTCGCTTTGTCCTCTCTTGGGTCTCTGCCTGGTCTCTCTCTCTCTCTCTCTCTCTCTGCTCTAAACAAGGTGCTCCAAGCTCTTCGAATAATCAATGACTCGTCTGGCCACCCTGGTAAAGCCATGTTCCAGCTTCTTCCCTCTGGCAGAAGATATCGTTCGCTGGGATTCAGGACTTCTCGTTTCGCTAACAGCTTCTTTCCACAAACATAACATAAACAAAGCACTTTAATGATCTTGCACTTGTGTTGAAACTGTTTTAATTGATTTCACAGCGACAACTGTCTTTGTTTTATTTATATACTTGTCTGGTGCACACTGGGGACTTTTGCGAATCTATTTCAATGTGGTTTTACTGTAAATGGCAAATAAGATGAATCAAAATATAAATCTCTGCCCATTCTTCTCTGCAAAAAATCCAGTTCCTCTAATTTCCCTGGCCGCCTTGCATGAACAGCACATTTACGATCTCCTCGGACTGGCTCAATGACATAGAGATGCACAACCATTACCCACAGAAACCAAGATAAAAATGTAAATGTAAGAGATCCTATATTTGTCGCTTTGGTGTGTAAACTTATAAACATAAAAACACAAAAAAATTGTAGTATCATCTCCATTAGTCAAATATTAAATACCAATATATTCTACATTTCTCCAAACAAGACCACCTCAGCAGCCTCCACTCCCAAACATACAGTATACGACCCAATTATTACCACGACATTGCGACTCTGCCTATCGCCATGGGAACGCTCGGCAGCCTCCCAGCTCCCATAATCCTTTTCGCACCGGCACAATGAGTATTTCGACACGCTTCGCTGTTGGAGGGAGGCGGAACGAAGGGTGGGCAGATATGGGGGACGTTTTGTATACACACCCATCACTGTGAGGACGAGAGAGAGAGAGAGAGATAGAGAGAGAAAAAGAGAGAGAGAGCGACTGCCACATGCAAAAAGGACGTATAGTATTTGGAATTTGAAAGGACGTGTTTTTTGGTCTTTTCAGCGTTTTTAAAACTGGTCCTTCAGCAAAAATAGACCCTCTTGTTCCATCGGAAATTCCCCCACTAAAGGACGACAAATCTTAATCCTAATCTTAATCTTGTGTCTAAATACTCCAGGTTTCAAACGTGGGATCCTCAGTCTATAGAGAGAGCTTTATAATTGCTTTCGAATTAGGTTGTATTTCTCCAATCAAACAACGTGCCATGTTAGATTTGTACTAAAACAGCAGAATGCAGTTTCCCACTTCTACCACTAGGGGGTGTGTCACGTTCAAAAATCCTGCCTTCCTTAATATTAAAAGATTTGCCCATTTTTTATATAATATTTTTACAGACTAATACATGAACTTCCAAGGTAATAAATGTCAGACTCATGCTTATAATTTTTTTCTTTACGGACAACAATTTTTGCTACTTTTATGTCCAAATTTACACACTGTTTGTGTTTACGGCGAGTATTAATGAACTGCTATCAATACTGTAATCACACTCACTCATTCTGAACTAATGTATATGGGCATATTACCGGAAAACTCAGCAGACGAGGGGAGAACTCGAACCCAGGACCAAACTTTTTTTCTTATCAGTAATCTTTAAATTGTGGGGTTTGAATAATACATAAGGCCAATTACATGCTTTTATATGTGGTTTTTTTAGCTTGATTTTATTGTTTATTTACAATGTTAATGTTAGTATCACAAATGTGTATGTGTAAAGTGATTGATACGATTTTGGTATTTTTGGTATGGAATATTCCATTGACAAATATGCAGTGTTTTGCATGGTTTCGTGACAAGACTGGTGAAGTAAAGTGGCAGTCTTGCTAAATCATTTGGATCAATATTTTAAGTATGTACTATTCTTATTGCATTTCTCTGACTCAATATTACTTTGATTCTTCCAGGTTCCCAATGATTGTGTGTATGCAGGATCACGCTCCGGCCACCAGGGGGCTGTGTCTAAAAACACTCATTCATGATTTAAAATTTTCTGTTTTAAATTGTTAGAAATATAATTGTGATCCAACAGTGTAGAGCAGACAAAACAACCACAAAATGTCGTCTTTGCTCTGAGATTACAGCAGTACTGGTCAAAACAGCAAACAGCGGTTATGCTAACACACCTCGCAGTAATCATTTAGACAAAAATAAACCGTATTTTCAATCCAATTTACCCTCAAACTTTAGCATTTTCCATTCCCATTCAACCTTGACACACTTAAGCCGGCCCTGCTTTGATAAATGGGGCTATAACAGGCGTTTAAGGGGGCCGTATCTCAGGCTGAAGGTGAGGAAAGACTCCCCCACCCCCAATGCCAGCTCCCCCTGCCCTCTCTGCTATCGTCTTGGGCCAGAACTGGGAAATGAAATGCGGAGTCCTTGGGGGGAAAAGCGGAGAGTGGCAGTTTATTGATATGGCGCGAGGGCGATGCGTTGAGGGTCTGCAGGAAATGTAGGTTAAAGAGATAACAAGTGTCATGGATATACCCAAAGTCGTTAAGAAGGAGTCATGTTTGATACACGGCTGTGAGATTAATGGGAATGGGAAAGAAATGTGATTTTAATATAGAAGCAGTGATAGCTAATGGCCAAGTCTGCAGTTTAGGCAGTCTCTAGTTTAGAGATTAAGATTTTGTATGAATTAAAGCTGAGGTACTTAACTTTTAACAACAACAAACCATTAAAAATCAATCAAGTAGTTTTCATAAGCGCAATCAGTCCAAATAGTCAAATAGTGACTCCCAGGGCTCTTTCTTATACAAGTACGAGAAAGATAATATGTTTTCTATTAAGATGGCTTTCCGTCTCTCCCTGTTCTGTGATTGGTCCAAATCCATGCAAACATTTTGGCCAGGGTTTCCAATTTGTTGTGCTGGTTTAAATAATTTGCACGCACACGGCAGAACGGGGGGATAACCTAACCAAGACTGGGTTCATATAGATTTCAATTTAAATCTATAATGATTTTTTGTTTTTTTCTATCAAAAGAAATATGTAATTTTACCTGTGGTGCATGTATTGAGTGATGGAGGAAACCGGAGTACCCAGAGGAAACCCACCCTGATACTCTACATTATTTTAGTTTTGAGGCCTGAGTTTTACCCACTCAAGAACGTGATTTTTTTATCAAGCAGGACACAGTACTGTCTGTGGCGTCAGTTTAAGGATTATTCATCGCATAAGGAGTTGATCCAGGACTCAGACTAGTCCTGGATCTAAAGTAGGAACGCACCGATACCACTTATTTCAAAACCGATACAAGTCTGACTACCTAAATTTGAAAACATAAAAACAACCAAAATCATAATTAAAAACACAAGGAATTAAAACCATTAAAACAATAAAATCCCATTTGGAATTGAAATGATAAATAACAACAATGCACAATTAAAATTTCTTCAAAATGCATAGTTTGAGTAAAGCACGGAGGAAACACAGCTTTTCGGTCTCACCTGAATTCTGCACCTCGTTCAGATAACTGTCGTCTGTCACCACCTGCAAACACAGACACATTAGGATTACTATCACACGCTCACGTCTCGTCTGCAAAAAACGGAGAGAAACGTTACTATTCCCAGACGGAGTACGGAGGAAATGGAAGCAGTGAGTTTGAGTGTTGGCGTGGGACGACGATGGCTCTTTATAGAGAAGCAGCAACAGATCTCAGAATGTGGTAATGTGTGTATTAGAGCAGCCAACAGGGAGGACACAAAACAAGAAGTTACTTGATTTTAGAATAAATACCACCTTTATAAGCTACAGCTCACACAATCACATTAGTCCAGTTCTCAGGTCTCTGCACTGGCTTCTTGTGGCTCAGAGAACAGAGTCTAAAACAGCTCTGCTTTTGTGAACCAGGGCAGCTGTGGCTACAGTAGTTGTTCATCACCTTTTATCACACCGTTATCATGATTCATGTGTGGAATAGTGAATGAATAATGACATGTGGAGTGTCTTTGAGGGTCCAAAAAAGGATCAAAAAGTATTCATTATTGTTATTATTATTATTATTATTATTGTTATTAATATTATTATTATTATTATTATTATCATCACTACTGTTATTATTATTATTGTTGTTATTATTATTATTATTATTATTATTATTATTATCATCACTACTGTTATTATTATTATTGTTGTTATTATTATTATTATTATCACTACTGTTATTATTAATATTATTGTTTTTATTATACTGTAATTGTAATTATTATTATTATATTTGAATTAATTAATATATTAATATATTTAATTTGAATTAATTAATATATTAATATATTATTATTAAATATATATGTTATATTTATTATTGTATGTATTATTATTATTATTACTATCATTATTGTTATACTTTAATGGCCAAAAATAATGCATTCTATTTCTTCTAAATTGGGAACCTTATCTCTCTTCAGTATCCCTTTCCCTCTCTCTCTGTTTAACTCTCTCTCTCTCTCTCTATCTCTCTCTCTATGGCCTCAGCTGTCCTGCACCTGTCCTCCTCCACACGCTCACATGGGTCTCAGCTGCAGCGTCGTCACATCTGATTAAAGCTAATGTCCGTGAATGTTTCTGCTCTGAACGCTGGAATCATCACACATGTTTGTAGCAGAGGTCACTGTTCTAATGGCATCAGGGAGGAGACAGCAGACTGTGAACGAGGAGAGAGAGGAGAGGGATGAGAGGGAGGAGAGAGAGGAGAGGGAGGAGAGACAGGAGAGGGAGGAAAGAGAGGAGAGGGAGGAGAGAGAGGAGAGGGAGGAGAGAGAGGAGATAGAGGAGAGAGAGGAGAGGGAGGAGAGGGAGGAGAGAGAGGAGAGGGAGGAGAGGGAGGAGATAGAGGAGAGAGAGGAGAGGGGGGAGTGAGAGAAGAGAGCGGAAAGAGAGGAGAGAGAGGAGAGGGAGGTCGAGGGAGGAGAGAGAGGAGAGAGAGGAAAGAGAGGGGAGTGAGAAGAGAGAGAGGAGTGAGAGGAGAGAGGCGGGAGGGAGGAGAGAGGGGGGAGAGAGGAGAGGGAGGAGAGAGGGGGGAGAGAGGAGAGAGTGGAGAGAGAGGAGAGAGAAAGGAGAGAGGAGAGACAGGAGAGAGAGGGGAGTGAGAAGAGAGAGAGGAGAGTGGAGTGAGAGGAGAGAGGGGGGAGAGAGAAGTGAGAGGAGAGAGGGGGGAGAGAGGAGAGAGTGGAGAGAGGGGGGAGAGAGGAGAGGGAGGAGAGAGGGGAGAGAGAGGAGAGAGGGGAGTGAGAAGAGAGAGAGGAGAGAGGAGTGAGAGGAGAGAGGGGGAGAGAGGAGAGAGTGAAGAGAGTGGAGAGAGGAGGTGAGAAGAGAGATGAGAAAGAGGAGAGAGAGGAGTGGAGAGAGAGGAGAGAGAGAGTGAGAGAGAGAGAGGAGAGAGGAGAGAGTGGAGAAGAGAGAGGAGACAGTATGGAGAGAGAGGAGCGAGAGAAGAGAGATGAGAAAGAGGAGAGGGAGGAGAGAAGGTAGAGAGAGGAGAGAGTGGAGAGGGGAGAGGGGAGAGAGAGGAGAGGAGAGAGAGGCTGTGGCTACACCTTACTATTGTAGCCACAGCTGCCCTGAGGCCCTCTGACAGAAGCAAGGCAACCATTCATTTTCTATGTTTTGTTTAGTCATTACAATTAGTTACATGTGTTTCGCCTTTTCATCCATTTAGACCCAAACCAATTGTGTCTTTCTATACCTGGGCTTTTTGAAGTCGCGGCTTTGATCTGGTTTGTGCTGTGCTCGTGTATTTCACTGTACTCTGGGTTTAATACATTTTCTCTGACTTCAAAACCAAAAATACCCAGAGTCAGTGAGTGAGAGAAGGTAAGTAAGCTTTTTTTTTTTTTTTTAAATTTATATACCGCCTTTTCACTGCACATCGGAGTCTCAAAGCGGTTTACAATTGTTATTTTTTTGGGAGTGGGGGTGCCAGTACAGGAGGCACATGCCATACCTATTGTACATATTTTTAGTGGTAGGGGAAACCGGAGCACCCGGAGGAAACCTACGCAGACACGGGGAGAACATGCAAACTCCACTCAGAAAGGCCCTGGTCCAACCGGGATTTGAACCCAGGACCTTCTTGCTGAGAGGCGAGAGTGCTATCCACTCAGCCACCGTGCCGCCCAGGTGAAGCGGCGTCCTCTGCTTCTGCTTCAGGAAGTGGCCTCGTTTCTGACATTGTCTCTGCTGCGTCAGGTGTTAGGACTCACTCTGCTCTGGTGTTTGACTTTCTCCTGTTGTAGCCACACGTCACTCTCTCACAACTGCTCCTGCTGATCCCGGGCTTTATCCAGAGACTGTTTTTCCTCAGTTCTCGGACGCAGAGCCAGCACCAGAGGCCAAGGACAATATGGATTATCGATAGCTCTATAGATGCTATACATCACTACTGTTGTATGTAACTTTTAGATACTTTTTCCTGCAGGTATCAATAAAGTATCTATCTATTCATTCATCCATCCATCCATCAATCAATCCATCATCCATCCACCCAACTACCTACCTATACCTACCTACCTACCTACATGTACCTACCTATCTACCTATCTATCTATCTATCTATCTATCTATCTATCTATCTATCTATCTATCTATCTATCTATCTATCATCCATCCATCCATCTATCTATCTATCTATCTTTCTATCTATGTATTTATCTACCATTCAACCAATTTTGACACTAGCACTGAGCAGATATTTTGGCTTTTAGTTTTAGAAGCGTACATGCACATCTGCCCCTTATGACCCAATGGCTCTATGTGTTTGTTACCAAAACATTTTCCGTGTTTGAACTCTTTGACTCTCTGATCTGTTGTTAGAGAATCGACAGCTTTGAGAAGTCCTCTGACTACTGTTGTGATTTAGCGCTATATGATAAAACAAATGAAAATTTAAAAAGTACTTTGAGTTGCCTTGTATATGAACTCTGTTGTATGAATCCACATTATTTGTATCGCACTGCTTATACACAACCATGATGACGCGCTTGGTGGAGCTGAAGTTGGCTGGATGACGCTGAGAAAGTGCCTTGATGGTTAGCAAGGCAGAGGGACACATACACCTCATTTCTGGCTAAGTTTGGACATAGTTTGGTAAGATGAGAAAAACCTGGGCGAAATTTCCATAAACATTTGTCCTTCGAGCCGGATCTATGTAACAAAACATACAGTGGTCTAGGTAAAAAAAAGAAAAAAGAATGAACAATGTGGGTTTGAATGCAGAATACAATCATACCCACATATCACACACACACATATAGAAGTATGAACTACTTTTGAGTATTGAGAGAAGCTAACAGAAACAAGCAGAAATCTGGAGACCGAAGCTTTGTCTCCAACGACAACAGAAGAAGCATCGCACAAATCACTCTGTTCCGTTCCAATATCCGGGAACCAGGCCACGGCCAGATAAGAGCTGTCACAACATCCAATTTCTGCATCCGTGGAATGTCTGGGAAACAATTTATGATGAAGACACAGAGATACAGACTGAACGTGGTTTGGAAGTGACACAGAAGCCAAAAGTTACTTATGTAGAAGGATTTTTGCACAATCGTCTCGCGGCAATTTTTGTTATCAGATTCTGTGATTGTGATTTAGATTTGGGGTCGTCTCTGGAGACTATTCCAAGTTCAGATCTACAGCCTCAGTCCTGGATTTACAGTCTCAGTCCTGGATCTACAGCCTCAGTCCTGAATCTACAGCCTCAGTCCTGAATCTACAGCCTCAGTCCTGGATCTACAGTCTCAGTCCTGGATCTACAGCCTCAGTCCTGGATCTACAGCCTCAGTCCTGAATCTACAGTCTCAGTCCTGGATCTACAGCCTCAGTCCTGGATCTACAGCCTCAGTCCTGGATCTACAGCCTCAGTCCTGGATCTACAGTCTCAGTCCTGGATCTACAGCCTCAGTCCTGGATCTACAGCCTCAGTCCTGAATCTACAGTCTCAGTCCTGGATCTACAGCCTCAGTCCTGGATCTACAGCCTCAGTCCTGGATCTACAGTCTCAGTCCTGGATCTACAGCCTCAGTCCTGGATCTACAGCCTCAGTCCTGAATCTACAGTCTCAGTCCTGGATCTACAGCCTCAGTCCTGAATCTACAGTCTCAGTCCTGGATCTACAGCCTCAGTCCTGAATCTACAGCCTCAGTCCTGGATCTACAACCTCAGTCGTGGGTCTACAGCCTCGGTCCTGGATCTACAACCTCAGTCGTGGGTCTACAGCAGGGGTCGGCAACCCGCGGCTCCGGAGCCGCATGCGGCTCTTGAGTGCTCCTGGAGTGGCTCCTGGAGCCTTTTCAAAAATGTCTGAAAATGGAGTGTGAGGGCTATATTTTATTTCTAGTTTGAATGTGGTTTCTGTAGAAGGAAAAACAATATTTACGTTTTTAAATGCTGTAAAAATATGTATAAGTAATATCTAATTTCAACATTTCTGTCAACGTAGTGAGTCATATCCTATGACGCGCGGTCACGCGGCCCCGCCCCATGCGGCCGCTGCTGTAAACAAACCGGCGTGTGTGCATGATAGACTGTAGGTGCACATGGATCCCAAAGCTAAAACGAGAAAGAGTCGATAACAAGACTGGACTAAGAATGAGAATGAACATTTTCTTTCAGTCAATGAGGAAGGACTGCTTCATGTTTGTAATGAAAAGTTTTGTTGCAACACGAGGAACGATGACGCGCAAAACGACGTAAACGGTGATTACGTGAAGGATTCATTCATCAAAAATTCAGAGCACCTATTTTCAGACTTCAAAACCTTCTCAAAGACGGTGAAAGAAAAGGCCATTAAGGATTTTAATTCAGCTCCAGCAAACTTCAGCCTGTGACGTGATGGATATGAGCAGACAGTGATGCAGGTATGTGACCTCTGAGCCCAAAGCAGATTTATTTACTGTATTTCTATAATTGCATGAAGGCAAAAAAAATGTAAGTTAAACTAAAGCAGAGTTGTCACGTGTTGCGTCATTCACTACACGCGTGGTGCGACACGCTGCAGTGAAAATACACATTTTATAATCATGAATGATTATTATGTATTTGTAGCCTTTACTTTGTCATTTAGATATTAGGCTAATATAGCTAATACATCTTGCAGCCTGTGTTAACTTCATAAAAGCCTTATACAAGGCTGTTATTTTTTTGCGGCTCCAGACAGATGTTGTTTTTAGTTTTTTTGTCAATTATGGCTCTTTGAACATTTTGGGTCTGGTCTACAGCCTCGGTCCTGGATCTACAGCCTCAGTCCTGGATCTACAGCCGCAGAGGCCAGGATTCAATCTATCAAGGATTTCATGATGTGAACTGTTAGATTATTTTTAGCTGGTTTTATTTTACTACATTTGTTCTCTTGTAGTTTGTGTTTTCATTTCATTTTTGTGTTTTTGTCCCTGTTTTATCTTGGTTTGAGTTTGGAGTTCTGTATCCTTGGATTGTGTTATTTCAACCAGGAGGATTGGACCAAAGACACCATCAAGAATGCACATGTCTGTAGTGATAATGATATATCAGCTCTGTGTGGCTTCAGAATAAAGCAACACAAATGTTTACAAGATGCGTCTTTGTTTAAAAATGCTGAACAGGATTATAAATCGATTTGTTGTTTAGATCCAAAAGGTCAATGAACATGGCCTTTTTACATTAGGACCAAAACAAAATGCAAGTGATGCCCCTGGAGAACATCCTCACAGAAATGACTTTTCATTCTGCCATTATTCTAGAATGATCCGAGCCACAGAACTTTCTCAGCGTGTGGCATGCGACGGAAAGTTCACAAAATGTCAGCCCCACTGCAGGGAGTCTACTGTGGAGAGCAGATTCAGTGACAGACTGATCCACCCTCGCTGTGTGAAGCTGAGGTTTCGCACGTCTTTCCTTCCTGCTGCTGTCAGACTGTACAACGAGAACTGCTCGTCATGTCTCAGTTGGAAATAGTTAACACCCCAAACATGTTTAATACTGAAATTGTCACTGAAAGTCACTATAGCTGTATTGTTTTGTTTGGATAAATTACACACACAAATACACACTTACACACACACATGCACACGGATACACACAAACGCACGCACTCTCTCACCCCCCCACACACACGTACGCACACATACATGCACACGCGCACACACACACACACACACACACACACATGCACACACACATGCACACAATCACACACACTCACACACACACACTCTCTCACCCCCACACACACACACGCACACACATACACGCACACGCTCACACTCTCTCTCACACATATTTATAATGAGGATCAATTCTGCAACCCAATTAAAAGTTCAAAAACTGCTAAAGAAAAACTATTACTGTAATTATGTCTCACTTTGTCCTCATTCTTAGAAAAACCTCTCTCTTCTTTCTTTTTTCCTGCGCACACATCCAAACATCCAAACATTTGCCTAATTTGTCCAAATGGAAAACCTCATTTGCGTTGTGTATTCTTGCGTCTCGCTCGGCTGCTTTCTCTCGTTGCTCTAATTGAATGGAGTTTTGACGATAAGTTGCACAGACTCCAGAGAAGCAGACCTCGGCGTGACCAGATGTGCAAACTCTCTCTTTGATGGCTTCATATTCACTGGTTATTACTCAATTATCACTGAGCGACAATATCGATTAATTACATATTTAGACGTTCTTCCATTAACGCTGCTGTCTACAAACATTCAATTACCTGGACCGGACAGAAAGCAAAAATCTCTCTTTGGATTTGGAGTAACATGGGCTGGACATAAGACAAAAATACAATAAAAAAAACTTCTAATTTCTTTTAACTCCTGCGCTAATTATTGTGTGTTTGTGTGTTTTGTCTGAATTTTTTGTATCTGTTTTTTGTGTTATATGGACTCTTTGTGTGTCTGAATTAAATATCAAATAAATCAATCAATATATAGTTGCAGGAGTCTCAAAAGTGGGTTGAATATGACACGTGTTTTTTTTTTTTTTTTTTTTTTTACTTTGACCCTGGGAACCAAAAACTAGAGAGTCACCTCTGCCAGAAATATGGAAAGAAATGTATTGTGTGTATTTTTATTTTTTCATTTTTTTTTGAGTGCTTAATACTTCTCATGTCATACATACAGATGGTTTTATATGTCCCAGTATTTGTATATAGTTATGTGCGCTGCCATATGAACCAACTCTGACTCTGAGGAGCACAGGGACGGGCCTCCTGCTGGTGCCCAGAGTCAGGACTATGGGGAGGCAGCGTTTTCAGATTTATGCAGCTAAAATCTAAAACGGTCTTCCTGAAAATGCGAGACAGGCTGACGATGTTCAAATCCAGGTTCTAAAAAAACAGTTGGATTTAAAGGATTGTAACTTCAGTCTTTCTAACGCACTGTGATTATTTCAATGTTTCTTTTCTTGTTTTTATCACTTTGAATTGCCCTTGTAAGAAATGTACTGAACAAATAAACTTGCCTGTATGTCTATCTATGCACTCATCCTTGTATAAACATAGGTTATAAACGAATATTGACTCAAGCGGATTTGACGTAACAGCGAGGCAATAACAAATACCAAAACTAACCACTATTTTTTCCCCCACGAGGCTTTGTGTGACGATATATCCACAATTTGGTGTTATTTTGGCGCACCTTATTTTCGTACCTCTTCATCCTCATGTATAAGACCAACCATATGGTACCTGCCTGCTCTATACCTCCACACAGGCATCACTGAAGCCGATCTGATAGCGTCCAGTCGCCCGTGCGGTGTCCATTCCCTTCCCACCCACAGCAGGGCACAATCCTCTCAAAAAAATCACTCCCACCGGTCCCACCACACACACCAACACCCGCTCCAGAGCCCACCGAAAATGGGGGGGCAAAGAAAGGCAATAAAGGCGCTGAATTGGAACAAAAGCGAGAAATTGGATCAGAATGCGTATACAGCGTGCCATATTACGCACTGGATTTGCCATTACCTGGATTCACGCGCGCTCCTATACGCACAATAACATGATAAATATGTCAATTTCAGGTGAATATATGCGTAAGATACATGACGTGGATGGTTACTTGCGTTTGTGGAGCAGGTCTTACCTCCGCGAGTAGCAGGAGCGGCATGCATAGAGTCCCGAGCACAAGCATCTTCTCCAGGCTGCAGAGAGGCATCGTCCCCCTCCTCCTGCTGGTGCTTCTGCTGCTGATGCTGCTGCTGCTGGTGGTGGTTTTTTGCGCCTGTCAAAAAGCCGCTATTCCCATGTTCTGGTGCCGTATAGAGCGGGAGGCGAGGATGGGTATAGTCCGCTCGGATGTGCTGGAGTTGAGTGGAGGAGAAGGAGGAGGATGAGGAGGATGAGGAGGAGGAGGGAGGGAGAAAACGGCGAAATGGGTGCGGCAAGAAAAAAACAGAAAGAGAGACATAAACCAATCGCGCTGAGGGGAATTGTTGAGGTTGGCAAAACCTCTCTCTCTCTTTCTCTCTCTGTCTCTCTACCTTGAGTTCTCCTCTCTCTTAGCTTTCTCCTCCACCTATCTATCTCCCATGTTTCCTCTCCCCTCACTCCTCTTTCTCCTCTCTCTCCCCTCTCTCCTCACTCTCCTCTCTCTCCTCTATCCTCGTCTCTCTCCTCTCTTACCCTCTCTCTACCTATCTCCTTTCGCTCTCCTCTCTCTGACCTCGCTCTCTTTCCTTTCTCTATAGTTTATCCTCTCTCTCCGCTCTTCTCCCCTCTCTCCTCTCTCTCCTCTCCCCTTTCTCTATACCTCTCTTCCCCCTCTCTCTTCCTTTTTTTCTCTCCCCTCTTTATCCTCTCTCCCCTTCTCTCTCTTCTTTCTCTCTTCTCTGTCTGACCTCTCTCTCTTTCCCTGCTCTCTCTCCCCTCTCCTCTCTTCTCTCTCCTCTTCTCTTTTCTATACCTCCCTATCCCCTATCTCTTTCTTTTATCCTCTCCCCTATCTCCTCACTCCCTCCCCTCTTTCCCCTCCCTTCTCCTCTCTCCCCCCTCTCTCTCTGTCCTCCCCTCTCTCCCCTCTCTCCTCACTCCCTCCCCTCTCTCCCCTCCCTTCTCCTCTCTCTCCTCTCCTGCCGTTTCAATCATCCACCCGCACTCGTTTCGTAAAATGTTATTGGATAAATGATGAATCACCCTCAGATTGAGGAGGGGGAGTCAGCCAAATGTGATACATGCATGTGGGGGAGATATTTGTCAACTTGTAAATCAGGGAAGTCTAGGTCTAAGGCTGAATGTAAATAATCTCATCTATTTGGGGCAGAAAGTGGTTTTCTTAGTGGCAAGTTTTCCATAACTCACCTTCATTTTTACTACTTTTTTGTGTACTAAATGTTATTTTTTGGCAGATACTTGTAACTGTTTGAATGAACCTGAAGATAGCATCCATCCAACATTTCTTCTGCTTTATTCGTTGCCTGGTCATAGGGGCAGCAGTCTAATGGTGCTTTCAGACCGGATGATGCGTTGCGTCGGCTTTCAATGCAAAGTCAATGGTGACGCACGAACGGACCGTGCAGTAGAGACGCGCGGACTGCGCAGGAAAGTCGAAGGGGAGGAGCAGGAGCGGAAAATGGACGCCCACAGGAGATAAACTTTTCTCAACCTTTCCTCGGGACGTTCGTGCAGCGACCAATCAGAGAGCCGCAAAGTGGTCACGGTTACATTAGTGGTCTGAGCGAGCAGACTGAACATACTGTTAACAGCCAAAACAGGAGCTACACCAGGACTAAACCAGGACTTAAAACCAAGTCCCGTGCGTCTGAAAACTAGAGAATGTGCGTCTGGTGAGCGAGGCTTCAGCGTTTGAGCGTTTGCGGTCTGAAAGCACCATAAGCAGAGAGGCCCAGACTTCCTCCAGCTCATCTGCGGGAATACTGAGGCGTTCCCAGGCCAGCTGAGAGACAGTGTCTCCGAGCTCCTCCCGTGTGACTGAGCTCCTATGGGAAAGTCATGTAGACCTCTTGTTGCTCATGAAGGCAACACAAATTTGTAGTGGTAGACTGCTAGACCATTCAATATTTTATTTAGCTATTTATAGTTACGTTTTGGAGTAAAATTTTAGATTAGACAACATGTTGAGGTTAAGGTATACATGTCTGCTTTCTTGAGAAAACTAGCTTAACAATGAGGTAAAACATGCCAGGCTTTTTCATACCATCAATGCTACAAGTTTATTATTATAACTTTAAACCATTTGTATTGTGTGTGTGTGTGGATACTTACCGGGGGAATTTATGGTAACAAACTGGGCATTTTCAGAAATAGCTATCAAAATAATTTAATTTACCACTTAAGGCAGATGTTAGTGACATCATGCGGCTGTTTTTCTGCTCTCTGCGACATGTGTTGAAGTTCATTCCATTTCCTGTTTTTGTTCAATCCTTTTCTTTAAAACTTGTTCTGTTCGACGTGCAAATACATCTGCTGAAATGTCTGTTGAAAACATTTTACATGTTGATGTTTTCTTATGACTTCTGTCTATGTCTATGCTCGGATATGATACAATTTGGCTACATTACAGTTACAGTGCCTTGCGAAGTATCCGGCCCCCTTGAACTTTTCAACATTTCGCCACATTTCAGGCTTCAAACATAAAGATATAAAATGTAAATTTTTTGTCATGAATCAACAACAAGTGGGACACAATCGTGAAGTGGAATGAAATTTATTGGATAATTTAAACTTTTTAAACAAATTAAAAACTGAAAAGTGGGGCGTGCAATATTATTCGGCCCCTTTACTTTCAGTGCAGCAAACTCACTCCAGAAATTCAGTGAGGATCTTTGAATGATCCAATGTTGTCCTAAATGACTGATGATGATAAATAGAATGCACCTGTGTGTAATCAAGTCTCCGTATAAATGCACCTGCTCTTTGATAGTCTCAGGGTTCTGTTTAAAGCGCAGAGAGAACCATGAAGACAAAGGAACACACCAGGCAGGTCCGAGATACTGTTGTGGAGAAGTTTAAAGCCGGATTTGGATACAAAATGGAAGGAGTATCAGACCACTGCAAATCTACCAAGACCCGGCCATCCCTCCAAACTTTCATCTCAAACAAGGAGAAGACTGATCAGAGATGCAGCCAAGAGGCCCATGATCACTCTGGATGAACTGCAGATAACTACAGCTTAGGTGGGAGAGTCTGTCCATAGGACAACAATCAGTCGTGCACTGCACAAATCTGGCCTTTATGGAAGAGTGGCAAGAAGAAAGCCATTTCTCAAAGATATCCATAAAAAGTATTTTTTAAAGTTTACCACAAGCCACCTGGGAGACACACGAAACATGTGGAAGAAGGTGCTCTGGTCAGATGAAACCAAAATCGAACTTTTTGGCCACAATGCAAAACGATATGTTTGGCGTAAAAGCAACACAGCTCATCACCCTGAACACACCATCCCCACTGTCAAACATGGGGGTGGCAGCATCATGCTTTGGGCCTGCTTTTCTTCAGCAGGGACAGGGAAGATGGCTAAAATTGATGGGAAGATGGATGGAGCCAAATACAGGACCTGTTGGAGTCTGCAAAAGACCTGAGACTGGGACAGAGATTTATCTTCCAACAGGACAATGATCCAAAACATAAAGCCAAATCTACAATGGAATGGTTCACAAATAGTCGTATCCAGGTGTTAGAATGGCCAAGTCAAAGTCCAGACCTGAATCCAATCGAGAATCTGTGGAAAGAGCTGAAGACTGCTGTTCACAAACGCTCTCCATCCAACCTCACTGAGCTCGAGCTGTTTTGCAAGGAAGAATGGGCAAGAATTCCAGTCTCTCGATGTGCAAAACTGATAGAGACATACCCCAAGCGACTTGCAGCTGTAATTGCAGCAAAAGGTGGCGCTACAAAGTATTAGCGCAAGGGGCCGAATAATATTGCACGCCCCACTTTTCAGTTTTTTATTTGTTAAAAAAGTTCAAATTATCCAATAAATTTCGTTCCACTTTCACGATTGTGTCCCACTTGTTGTTGATTCTTGACAAAAAATGTAATTTTTATATCTTTATGTTTGAAGCCTGAAATGTGGCGAAATGTTGAAAGGTTTAAGGGGGCCGAATACTTTCGCAAGGCACTGTAATTCCCAATTCGTTTCCAATATTCCCAAAATTCCCGGGGTTAATTTACTATGGAAATGTGCAAAATTTTACTATGGAAATCAACCAGAATATGTTTCCGGAAATTTCAGATTAAGATTAATAGATCCTTTATTCGTCCATCAGTAGGGAAAATGTCAGTGTTGCATTGCATTACTAAGACATATATGAAAATAAATCTCTGGCTTTAGCATATTCAAAATTAGCAGTATATAAAATCAGCTTTAGCAGAAATGTTCCGTCCCTTCGCACCCCTCGTCTTGAGTCTTTCCAGATTGCATTGTTTTCCACCATAATATCCTCACACAAACTGAAACCTCCTCTTTTAAAACCCACAGATCCACGTTGGTGCGGTGCCACGGAGCCAATCACCGCGGCCTAAATAAAACCGAGCTTAATGGAAGAACAGATGAACAAAAGCGTTTGGCGTCTGCTGCGAGAAACAGTTGGCTCCAAAAGGAAGAAAATAAATGGGTTTGACGGTTGTAGCTTTTGACATTCTTTTGTGTTTTTGTCTAAAGCTTGTTACGAGACTTGACCACAACACGGAGGATCAGGACTCAACATGGAGGACGAGATGTGACATTGGGCGATGGTCAGCGCTTTGATATGATCTTTGTTTAGACCCAGACCTAGACTCTCTGCATGTAATATGTTTTGGTATCTTTTTTCACTATTATTTCATCAATTCAATGTATCTTTGTACAAATATCAAGCGGACAATAGCACAAACAAACATGGTAGAGATTTTGTATTTTTACTGTAAAATATCAGACTCAGCAAGTTCAAACATACCAAAAAATGTCCGTCTGATTGACAGATGGTTCTCCAAAGTTATCATTAATAAGCGTTTTTTTATTACGACTCAAATGTCCGTTAGAAACCGCTCAGATTTATTAGCGTCAAAGAACATCTTCATATTTCCGTAACTTGCAACATCTGAAACGTTTTGCATTTTTACCAACGACGTCTTCCACATGGTCGCTGTGTTGCCCCTATTCCAGATTTATGTACAACTAACCCGGACTCTTGTACAGATTACACCAGTTGTCAGCGC